ATTTTAAATATTTTAAGTTATGAATGAAGGAATTATAACATATTTTGCAACTTAGGAAACATTTGTCAAGTTAATTAAATTAAATTGTTAAATTAAATAGTCTAAATATTTTTGAGGTTTATTATATATTGTTTCACATTTTATACATTTTTTATTGCAAATGTTGTATTTATTCAGGCAATTTTGCAAATCTTTAATGTCACGCCATGATAATATTTTGTATTGGTAAACCACAGGGTTACCCAGAACAAGAATTTCTAACTTTAATATAATACTTTTAAAATATTGACATTTTATACCATATTTGATTTGATACTGGGGCGGAACACTGGCTCAGTGGTTAGCACTGTCACCTCACAGCAAGAAGGTCACTGGTTCGAGTCCCAGCTGGGCCAGTTTGCATTTATGTGTGGAGTTTGCATGCTCTTATGGATTTCCTCCGGGTGTTTCAGTTTACCCCACAATACAAAGACATGTGCTATAGATTAATTAAATAACCTAAATTTGCTGTAGTGTATGAGTGTGTGTATGGGTGTTTCCCAATACTGGGTTGCAGCTTGAAAAGCATGCACTGCATAAAACATATGCTGGAATAGTTGATGGTTCATTCAGCTGTGGTGACCTCTGGAATAGGGACTAAGCCAAAGGAAAATGAATAAATTATTTGATACTACAGAATAAGTTTTTGATAGCAATAAGTCAATCTGGTGCACTTTTTGTTGTGGTAACGCCAACATCAAACAATTTGATAATAATTAATAATGATTTTTTTTTCAAATAATAATATATCTATATATATTATATATTATTTATCTATTATATATTATATATCTATATATATTATTTATCTATATATTATTTAATATATTATATAATATATTAAATATATATTATATATTATAATATATTTTCAAATAAAAATAATCAAATAGTATTATTATTTTGAAATAATAATAAAATTATATATATATATATATATATATATATATATATATATATATATATATATATATATATATATATATGTGTGTAATTTTCATTATTTTGGCCCAGGTAACAGTGTATTCTTATAGTTAGCCACCTATTTTTAAAAATATTTATCTATATGTTATTTTCCACATATTTGAACTATGGCAACAATATATAATGAGCAAAGTTTAACTTGTGGAACAGATAAAACCGTGGTTTGCTGCAGTAGGACCATAATAAAATTTCATCTAGACCAAAAGACAGAAGCACTATTAGCATGCCGAATTTAACAACTAAATTTATAAACATGCTTCATATACTGTAAGTGATCATAGGCAGTACATTCATTTCTACGTTCATATTTTTATTCTGTCTGGCAAATACAGATGTCATCTGTTCCTAGTGGATATTTCTAGTGCAGAATGTTGGCATACATACCGCTGGTGCATAGCTGAATGAATAGGTAAACATTATACTGGAAAAGTGTGCAGGCGTTTGTCTCTGTCTGCTCTGCCACGCCGTCTTTCTCTCCTTCTGAACTCAGCCTATGTATTTCCACGAAATCCAGTCACTCGATTTCTCTGTATCACCTCAGTCTTAAGTGTCTGAGCTTTTTGAAGAATTGGGATAATCTCAATGTCAGGCGAAAAGACATTAATGCAATGAAATTCATTAGCTATGGCTGCCATTGAGCGTAGACCACAATAGCATGAGGATGATTCATGCTTTCTCTTCTCGCAGCTGGTGACCTCTTCCCTTGGATTAAAATAAGTCTCGATTCCCTCTTTCCACTAAACAAGACTCTTGCATCATTTAAATATCCATACTTCGAAGAAAAATGAACGATTGACCCAGTGGAAGCCTATTAAAGGCTCACAGGGAAAGATTTACTGGGCTTTCACTTTAATTGCATTGCACATTAGTGTTATCAGGAACATTGTGCTTTAGTAACTCTGTCGTTATAACATTTTAACTGAACTATTTTCTGCAGTTTAGTTTATTATTGTATGTTTCACTTAATGTTCTATAATACAAGTTTAGTGGACGGAAAACAAGTGAATAAAATTGGTTTTTAATAGTATCTATCTATCTATCTATCTATCTATCTATCTATCTATCTATCTATCTATCTATCTATCTATCTATCTATCTATCTATCTATCTTTCTATCTTTCTATCTATCTATCTATCTATCTATCTATCTATCTATCTATCTATCTAAACGTGCATACAGTATATATTTGTGTGCTGTTTAAGTAAAAACAGCATACATTACTATAACTTCAAGACCTTGTGCATGGATAGTTTACTGAACACTCACTTTAAGCGTACTGTAATTGTCTGTGTTTATGTGAATACTGAGAGATTTCTGTTGGTCCATTAATTGGTCCATCTGTTCACCAAAATGGTCATACTTCAGATAATTTGTAAAGAAATCAAAAAATACATCTATTTCAATGGAGTGGTTTGATTCATATGTTCGTAAGAGACACAATCATCGATGGCCATGTCTAGTGGATATAGTTTAGGTTTTTATTGACATAAAAACTGATCAGTGAACATTGACAGACACTTGACCAAATATTGAAATGCAACTCTAAACCTCGTTGGTACTTGGGGTAGCTCAAATGTTGCGTGACACTTTTTCATGCATCAAGCAACGATGCTTAATCTTTTGTGAACAAATTCGAACGTTGTATTGTTCGCTGACCTATTGTGCAAAATTCACTTTTACATGGTGTTTGAACATAAATGTGTCGGCAGTGTGTGAACACAGCCACCCTATGCTAAAAATAAGGGATGTGAACCGCGACTAATTTTATTAGGGTATAAACGGAAATTTTGTAACCAAGCAGACCCCCACATGGTCAAAAATGTTTTGCAAAATCTGTGAATAAAGCTTGCCACTGTTATATTTTAAGTATAATTATTTAATTGATCATTAATTAATAAAAATCTAAACATGCTTGTCGTGTTTTAAAAGAACATGCATGCACATGACGGATGGTAAAGTCTTTGTGTACTGCAGCTATACATTTAAGGAGTATATTACACATATAAATATATGTGTTAAGAAACTGATATAGAGACTGTTACTGGCATGTTTTCATTCATACTACTAATTTCAATATATAAAATATAAGAAGAATAATGTATTTAATATGTAATGGCATGACAGCAATTTGAATGTAGCCTTTGTAAAATATTCATTAATTTTCTTTTAACTTAGTCCCTTATTTATCAGGGGTCGCCAAAGTGGAATGAACCGACAACCATTCCGGCGTATGTATTTAAACAGCAGATGCCGTTCCAGCCACAACCCAGTACTGGGAAACACCCATACTCTCTCGCATTCTCACACACACTCACACTCATACACTACAACCAATTCAGTTGTTTATTTAATTTATCTATAGTGCATGTCTTTGGACTGCGGGGAAAACTGGAGCACCCGAAGGAAACCTACGTGAAACCTTAAATAGTTTTAACCTACGGAGAGAACATGCAAACTCCACACAGAAATGCCAACTGTCTTAACTGGGACTCGCACCAGCGAGCTTCTTGCGGCGACAGTGTACAATATATGGTCACACTTTACAATAAGGTTCATTAGTTAATGTTAATTAATGCATTAACTAAGATGAACAAACAATGAACAATACATTTACTACTGTATTTGTTCATGTTAGTTAACGTTAGTTAATGAAAATACAGTAGTTCATTGTTAGTTCATGTTAACTCATGGTGCATTAACTAATGTTAATAAGCATGGACTTGAACGTTAATAATGCATTAATAAATGTTCAATTATGATTAATAAATGCTGTACATGTGTTGTTCATGATTAGTTCATGTTAGTAAATGCATTAACTAATGAACCTTATTGTAAAGTGTTACCCAATATATTTGCAAATAAAAAAAATAAATGTCAGCTAGCAGCTAGGCATGGGCCGGTGTAAGTTTCCAACACTATTTAAAAATATCAGGGTTTGACGGTATTGTAACCGCCAACATTTTTTGCTATACCATTTCTAAGTTATATGTAAGACTTTTTATTTTATTTATTTTTTATTTGTTGTTTAGGACAACAGTATCTCCAGCAGAAAAGATATCCAAAAATGCTGTTTTAAATTGTAAAGAAATCTGTGTTTTTTAAACGAATGAAGACAGCAGAAGTCAATGATTCATTTGAATTATTTAGCCTGACATGTTTACTGTTCCAAAATATTTTAAATGTTTCTCAAAACAAAATCTAATGTGTTCAAAGGGGAAATTTTTGTTTAGCTTTTTACCCAGACAGGCAAAAAGAAAATATTTCAGAGTATTAATCACAATAGCGTGAAATCGTGATATTTTTAATCCAAGGTTATCATACGGTCAGAATTTCTAACCGACCGATGCCTAGTCATGTGATTATGATAAAAAGTCGGATGTAGTACGTCTGAGCTCCATTCATACTACTTACATTCATACTGTGTAGAACAAACATATTTTTCTATCGGTCAAGTAGTAAATTCAAATTCAGATGCAGTACCTACAAAATAGTATGCGATTTTGGACGCAGCCAGTATATATTTTTATTTTTTTTATGAATTTTATCCTTTAAAATAATTTGGAACAGTAAACATGTCAGGCTAAATAATTCAAATGAATCATTGGCTTACGCTGTCTTTGTTAGTTTCAAAAACACAGATTTCTTTACAATTTAAAATGGCATATTTGGATCTTTTCTGCTGGATATACTGTTGTCCTAAAAACATACAAAAAATAGTACAAATACCATAGGAATGGTATAACAGAAAATTTTGACAGTTTTAAAAACTTGACTTTTTCAGCCGCGGTATACCTTGAAAACAGCTATCGTCTAATGCCTACTAGCAGCAGGAGCAGTATCGTTAAGTTATTTGTCTAAAAAATCCACTAACTCTTTTTTTATTCAATATAAATTCTGAACAGTGTATTAAGCATAAACACTGTTACTATTTACTTTACTTTATTATTTACTTTTCATTGAATTGCTGTTTTTGCAGGTCTCTGGATGGCCGTCTGCAGGTATCTCACAAAAAAGGCCTCCCTCATGTAATCTACTGCCGTCTCTGGCGTTGGCCTGACCTGCAGTCCCACCACGAACTGCGTGCTGTTGAAATGTGTGAGTTTGCCTTCCACACGAAGAAGGATGAGGTGTGTGTAAACCCTTATCACTACCAGCGTGTAGAAACTCCAGGTAAACCAGCAAATGTATTTTATTTAAGCCATTTAATGTCATAATCGGTTATAATTGAGATAAATTTTATATATATCCTTCCTGTGTGTTTAGTTTTGCCTCCAGTCCTGGTTCCTCGGCATGCTGACATCCCCACAGACTTCCCTCCACTAGATGATTACTCCATCCCAGAGAACACCATATTCCCAGCGGGCATTGAGCCTCCCAGCAACTATATACCGGGTGAAAACATGTTTTCTGTTTTCTCTCTGAAAATCACACATTAACTTTCACCCAGACATGCCCTCGGGACTGCACAACAGGCATTTACCCACTCTCTACACACCCACAGACATGCTGATTCACAGAGGCACTTCAGCTTGAGTTGATTTTGTTGCGTCTCGGGTTCGTTTAAGCAGTTTGTCAAAATCAAAGTGTTTAGTCTGGAATCTTAATAAATATAAACAGAAAAGGAGAGATCAAAGTGCAGATCTCATGACCGTAACTATATATATTGAGACTCAAGAATGATTGTTTTTCTCATGACTTGAGTGAAAGAATAGCTTTTTCCACCTCTTCACATATGCAGTGTGGCGAAGTGTTACCACACATGCTACAAAGCAAGCTTTCTCCTTTTTAAGTTTTAACTGAAAGGTTTGGATGGATCTACAGTACATGGTTTTAGACTCTCTTCAGCCTCTGGTATTGATTGATACTTAAGGCTATAAATAAATAGGCAACACGCTGCAAACTGGGAGTGTTTAAATATCTGCACTGCAGGGAGGCAGAATTCTGTCTTGTACATTTGACACAAGTGCGGTGCTTAATAACTCAACATGTCTGATTTATGTTGCAGAGACCCCTCCTCCAGGATACCTGAGTGAGGATGGGGAAACCAGTGACCACCAAATGAGCCACAGCATGGACACAGGTTGGATCACAAACAAACAGTTGCTATTCAATACTAAAACTGATCATGTTTGTTAATACTGTTCTTAATCTTTAGGTTCTCCAACGCTTTCGCCTAACCCTGTTTCTCCGGCAAACAGCAACCTAGGTGAGAAGAGATAATTATTTATTATTTATCACAGCCAGATATTACATATTCATCTCACAGTTGATACAAATATCGAACACATTTTCTAATACTTAACAATCATTCTTTGGTAAAATGGCTGAAATATAGTAGTAATGCTTGTTCATTTGTTTAGTAGTACTCGAGTGTCACACTAATCGTTCCCATAAAAGTGATTTAGAGCATTAATAAATTAGGAGGAAGAGTCTCAATGAAATCTAAACACAAGTGGTCTTGAGACACATTTTAATGCAAGTTTATACCAAACTGACTGAAAGTTGGAAACATTAATGTGTCTTACAAAATATCGTCAATCCAAGGCACTCAAAATGTTGGTAAAAATAGTTATAAACTCTTTATTTACATGGCTATTAAAGTTAACATATTTTTTATATACATACGTTTTTTTCCTCCCATTAATATATTGATATAACTGTTGAGTTGACATTAGTGTGTTGGCTTGGGCTGGGCGATGTTGCAAAAAAATCACAATATCTTGTTTCATATCATTTGGTGTCAATAATTATTGACTATTTTTTAACAACACTTTTAGGATTTACATTAGGGCTTTTTGTTATTTAACCACTTTATTTTAATTTACCAACATTACTAAGGCAAATAGTTTTAATTGTCAAAAACAAAAATATTTAAAATATCTGATCTCTTTATAATAAAATAAACCTAAGTGTTAAAAAGACTCTTAAACCTGATAAATAAAATATTACAAAGTGTGTGCAATGGTAAAGGTAGATCAACATCTGTAAGGCGTCAATTACAACTATATAGTAAACTCTGTAAACAAAAGAAATTATGATAATCAAATCTGAGCTTTCACGTAAAGGAACCAGCCATCATTATTCAAATACATACTGCAATATTACAAATGGTGAAGTTGATTGACTGAATTACCCCCTATGCTAAAAACTTTTTCAGATAGGATGTTTGTGACTGGGATGCGCAAGAAAAGAAACTAAAAAGCCACTCTGGTGACATCTTCACATACTTTTTTATTTATAATCTCCTCATTGCTGCTATACGCCACTCAATTTCACGTGTTGTTATTCTGACCTGAAGTGACGAAGCGCGAGTCTGTGATTTCGTTCACAATTTTCTATGGCGCCTCTCGTAATTAGGTGACCATCAAGCATTTTCTTAGAGGATGACAAATGGACAACCCATTGTTGCAGCTAAGATGCAAGTTTATTGAGAAAAGTATAAGAACTGCAGTGTTTGGATGCAATGTGTTTGTTAGAAGTAATTAGTCTACCTTTACTGAAATGTGTATATTCCACACAAAGTGTGAAGCAGATTGGTTAGTTCTACTTACATGAATCACGATGCACTTGCAGCATTTGGAAAAGTTCAGATGTTTGTACCTGGAAAATGCACACGCGTCAAGTGTGCGCCGCTTGCATACCGTGTGCGCACACCTCCATTAGAAATGACAAACACACTAAGCTCATTGGCATTCCTTTCAAGGTGCGCGCTCAACAGCCACATTTTATACAGAAACTTCATATCGAACTTTTTTTTTATTGCTATTGACAATGGTGTTCGGTCAATAAATATTGATAACGATTTTATCACCCAGCCCTAGTATTGGCTATATAACTGTACTGTTCAGTTAGTTAAGAGCTTACATGGGAGTGAGTGTTCAAATGAACTCCAGATGCACTTGCATATTGCCAAAACCTGTACGGTGCATATGAGTGCTGTTTTTTCAAACAATAGCCATGTTAATAAAGGCTTAACAAAGGCTTTTAACTTTTTCCCTTACTTTTCGAATGCCCTGGACTAATGATTGTATACCTTTATGAATCCCTTATCCAAAGAGCACAGACACATTAATTATGCCTGACACACTTTTAGTTTGATTCTGTATTTAATGACTTGTGATCAGATTACCGAACAAAACATTAAGAGAAGGTGAAAATGAATATAGAGACTAAAGCTTGAAAATAGTAATTCCCTTTAAAAAAAGTGTTTATCCTGCAGAGTTTGTTTGATTTTTGTGAGTACACCATCCTACTGTGAGTCTTAGTTTAATCTGGCTGGATTATCTCTGATTTATCATCTCCATAACACTGGTTGGACTGCCTGGTCCTGGTTGAGGTGATTAAAGAGGACGGATGTCTGCTTCAGTGAGTCCATGAGAAAACACTAGGAATCACTGCCAGTAAAACAGTTGGGTAATGCCACCAGCATCCAGTACTATCTTCATTAAGTGACTTACAATTCACTTAGCATAGGAAAGCATGGTTAGAATGATTAACAGTAGCTAGTTGGTTAATTTGGAGTTGTTTGCTTATTTTTTTAAATCAGCTTAAAGGGATGGCCGTCTGAACAAATAATCAGATTAAGAAATATGATGTTATAATGCTGGTTAAAGGTCATGTTGATCAGACACCAGTTAGATGCATATTTTTGAGATTTATGTTACATACGTTTAGAATTTTGAAAGACTTTCAATAATGTTGATTTAAGTTCAAGTTAAAGTTGCTTTATTGGCATGACATTCAGTACATTATTGCCAAAGCATTTCAAATATGAAATATTATGTGAGAGAAAAACAGTATTAATATACTTAAAGGTGTCCTGTTTTTTATTCTATTCGGTTCATTTTTATTTCTATAGTACCTGTGTCAAAGTGCCTTAACATAGAAGTTCTTGTAAATTGAAACTGCGTCAGTCCCGTTTTCACAGTTGAAGTTCAGTTTAGTTCAGTTCAGTGGGGTCTAATTTTTACTGCTGAAAGTCCAATCACTGAAGAGCAAATCCATTGATGTGCAGCTCCACAAGTCCCAAAACCAACCAAGCCAGTGGCGAGGAATGAACTTCAATAATTGACAAAAGTGAAGGGGAAAAAAAACAGGCTCAGTTGGACACAACCATTTCTCCTCTGGCCAAACTTCCTGTGCAGAGCTGCTGTCTAGGTGCTGGAGGCTGAAGAATGCTGGACCTTCAATGTGGAGAAGCTGCAGGTACGAGAAGGTCACCGGCGGGTGTTCAGGCTGGCCAACAGGATCAGTGTGGAGACTCTTCTGTCACTGTGGTCTTTCAGGAATCAGTCTCATGTTCTCCATCCAGCTATGACTGCCACAACATCTTCTTAGGATACGGTCTTGTCCAGGGTTATGGAAACCTCTGAATAATAAAAAACAGACTTACATAAGCGTAGATGGCGAATGATGTCTTTTAAGAAGTGTTCCCGGCTCCGGTTGTCTAAATTAATGCAGACTAACAATTTTGATTTCAAAAGCACTTGTGTTTTATGTGTATGTTAACGCAAAGAGTTGTGTCTGCCTCCCGACCTATGCTAGGAAGGCTGTTCCAGAGTTTAGCTGCCAGATATGAGAAAGATCTACTGCCTACAGTTGATTTTGATATTCTGGGAATAATCAATTGTCCAGAATTAATTGAGCGCAGTGCACATGAGGGGCTGTAGTACACCAGGAGCACCCTTAAATACTGGGAAGCTAAGCCGTTTAGGCCTTTTAGGTAGTCAATAAACTTTTTCAATTGATACGATATTTAATAGTAATGACAATGACAAAGCTGAATTTTCAGCATCATTGCAATAGTCATAAGAGCTACATGATCTTTAAAAAAATAAAACATTACTTCAAATGCTGAAAATCCTGGTTTACAAAATCTGTGCACACACATTGGAAATTTGAAGTTTGGCCAGAGGAGAAATGGTCGTGCTGGTTTCCCTCAAGATTTTTTCCCTTCACTTCGTCAATTAGTAAAGTCTGCTCCTTGCAACTGTCATCACTGGCTTGCTTGGTTCGGGACTTGTGGAGCTGAGCATCAATGGATTTGCTCTTCATTGTTTGGACTTTTAGCAGTGAAAAAATTAAACCCAACTGAACTAAACTGAGCTTCAACTCTGAAAACTGGACTGACACAGTTTTAATTTACTAGAACTTCTATGTTAAGCTGTTTTAACACAATCTACATTGTAAAAGCGCTATAGAAATAAAGATGAATTGAATTGGGCACTGCTTGGGAACAGTTTAAGAAATATTAAGTAAGGTTTATAAACTGAGTGGATGAATTAAAAACCATCGTCAATGATTGTTTTATTGTTTTTCTCATGCAAGTGACTTTCTGGGTTTTGAGGTATTTAGTTGTGCTGCTTAGCCTTTTAGAAACTGCCCTGCATTTATATCAGGATTATATTTAGAATGTATTATGTATTATGAGCGATGTTTACTTACTAAGCTGTTAGTCAAACCATTCCTGAATGGTGACTTGCTAGTGTCACAGTATACTGTACATGCAATGGCTAGAAAGCCCTAAAAAGTACATGCTTTGTCTCTCAACTGTGCAGGAGGAAAACTCATGTAAAAGGAGCTTTTGTTTCTGTCAGCCCAGGGTAATGTAATAACAATAATATCCTGTCACTGGGTTGTTCTATCTCTGTGGAGAAACAGCAGGAGGCCCTGTGGTAAAAATAACAAATAACTAGTTTCACATGGACAGCCTGCTGTTTTCAAAGAGTCACATTCTGTCACAACACACTGACTTTACTCTACAAGTACAGTGCTTTTCCTGTTTACTTCATGCTTTCTTTGTTTTGACTTTTGTTACGCGGATTCTTTCATGTTTATTTATATTTGTGTTTATGTGTTTTAGATCTGCAGCCAGTAACATATTGTGAATCTGCATTTTGGTGCTCGATTTCATACTATGAGCTGAATCAGCGTGTCGGTGAGACTTTCCATGCCTCACAACCATCTTTAACTGTGGATGGCTTTACGGACCCCTCTAACGCAGAGCGATTTTGCCTGGGTCTGCTCTCCAATGTCAACCGGAATGCAGCTGTGGAGCTGACGCGCAGACACATCGGTATATTTCGTTGACTTTAAAGGAACACTTCAATTTTTCACTAAAATGCAAATTTTCACCTAGAGTTAAAAAGCAGATTTTTACCATTTTTGAAAGTAGCAACTTTTCATTTTCCATTAGTCTTACCACATGATGTAACTACAAAAAAGTAAAGATTTAAAGAGCCCCTATTTTGGATTATAAAAGCACATATTTTGGTTTTGGGGGCCCCCAACAACAGGCTGATATGCATTCTAGATAAAAAAAATACTTTCATTGTCTTTAATATGCATTTATTTTTACCTAATTATTCCAACGACTTCTATATGATTCGTTCAGCGATTCATTTGTTTCCAAACCCCTCCTTTGCATGAGGCTAATCTGCTGTAATTAGTCCAATGACCTAGTCTGTTGTGATTGGTCGACTGTGTTCAGCGCGAGACAGAGAAATACCCACCAGGGTTATGTAGTAGCACAGAGTATGTGAGATCCCAATGCAGAAATGCAATAAAGCAATGCAGTTAAACACCTGCATATTACTCTACTCTTAATGCTCACCACAAGTAATAACAATGACACACATTCAGTATTTATCCACATAGTGGCAAAAGTTGAACTATTTAGAAAATTTACAGCGCCGCGCTTATGAGGAAAAGCTGATGGATGCCATAGCAAAGACAAACGGCAGAGAATTGCAAGTTCAGAAAGGCATTTAAATTGGTAAAGGACTAAGCACGCATCATGTTTTCAACGTGGTTTTGGATGCAATATGTGAACAGCCCTATAAAGATTTAACCTGAGAGATACATAACAAGCACTGGTCTATAATAGATACAAGATTACAATCTGCACAGAGCGGTTACAACTTACAACACACAATTAAACACATATTTTGCAAACTACAGAAAACGAGGCAACAATTTTAATTAAACTTACATGTTATGATTCATGAGGTTGAAGAAACTAATCCATATGAACTGTAACAGTTACTGACAAAGTCCCTCCAAAGTCTGACAAAGTCCAGTACATAATAGTCTCTGCTGCTTCTTTAATAGCAAATGACATGAACAATCACAGCACATGGTTGTCTGACACTTTGGAATTGCTGTGAAAATTAACCCTTTTATTACTCGCAATCAAATCTCCATCTGTCAGTGATCGTCATCTTCGTGTCATGATTAGTCCCTTAATACCCTGTGCTCCACTAGTTTCTGAAGGGAAAGGCACGCTCATGTTTTACCAGATCTGGTACTACATATTTAGTAATGTACCGTTGACGTCAATGCGTTCAGGCAAAAGATTCGAACCAAATATGATTTGTTTCTTCAACTCTAAATCGACTATTTTGTGAAAGAATCAATAGTTTTACAGTGCACTTTCAAATTTAAACCTTAGCTGGATGTTTTCATTCACTTAGTGCTGTTGCACACTGCATGGAAGGTCATTTCCAAAAACCCATAATAGGGGCTCTTTAGTATGAAAAATTTTAAAACCTATTTTTGAATTTTTATTTGAGTCAGATGCTAATAGTCTAATCCAATTCAACGATTTATGCTAAGCTAATCTAAAAGTGCTCCCGCCTGACTCTGAATGAATTCAAAAATGGCAACACTCTACTGTTAAAGTGTATGTCACTTATAAGTTGAGCCTATTTCAAAAAAAAGGTATAGTGTTCCTTTAAGTATAAAAATATGCTGTAATTAAAGATTCTGAAATGATCTTCATGCTCTCAAACTTCATAACATTTCCTCAGGCCGAGGCGTGCGTTTGTATTACATCGGCGGTGAGGTGTTTGCTGAGTGTCTGAGTGACAGTGCTATTTTCGTCCAGAGTCCGAACTGTAACCAGCGGTATGGCTGGCACCCTGCCACTGTGTGTAAGATTCCTCCAGGTGAGTCAGTCAATCTCTATGCTCTGATTGGATGAATGTGAAGCGGTGTATATATACATCCTATGAGTCACTCAAGCATGTTCTAGCATGAGACTTCCTCATGTTCCATATAAGCACTGAAGCATACATGTTTGTTTCTGACTTCCTTTCAGGGTGTAATCTGAAGATCTTCAACAATCAGGAATTTGCAGCACTGTTGGCCCAATCAGTGAATCAGGGATTTGAGGCTGTGTACCAGCTTACCCGCATGTGCACCATTCGAATGAGTTTTGTCAAGGGGTGGGGGGCAGAATACAGGTAAGAATAGACTTATATCAGATATACTGTACTGGGGTGTAATGGTATGCAGAATTGTCGGTACAAGTCTTTTATTTTGGTAAATTTATGGCCTAAAATATGTCAGATGAAAAATGTCATTTGAAACTGTCAGTGCTTTCACACTAGCACTTCTGGTCCACACCAGGCTTTGTTTGACGTCAAAGTACGCTACGTTTAGCTAGTGTGAACGCTGTCTTCTGAACCCACAAATCGTACCCGAGTCCACCTGAAAGAGGTGGTCTGGGTTGCGGTTTGTGCGAAATCTGGTACGGTTCACTTCTGATATGAACGCAATCGTACCAAATAACAGAAGTGAACCGCCAACTGTACAACAAACTTTAGTTTTTATAACATTCATTTGTGTGTGTATGTCTGTGGATCACCTTCAAAAAGCGGGACTGACCCAGTGCAAACAGTGATATTGTCTGCTTGTCCGACCAAAAATGACTTCTGCAGGCATCACGTGATGTTCTGAACATTTTTCATATTTTTTGCGGCAGTGAGATGCAAGTGGCTCTGAATTTTGATTTTGGTAACACAAGCAAAAGATTCAGTAAAAGCAGAATGACCATGATATACGTACGTCTCCATTTTGCTGCTTTGCTTTCGTGGCCGTCACCTAGCAACAGCTGTACACAAAACAGCAGCTTGATGACGCAAGCGTACCAGGGTTTAAAAGGAAAAAAGACAGTGTGAACACAAACCAGCCAAGAAGGTGGCAAGGGAGCACTCAACAAGAAACAGTCATTGTCTTTCTACAAGAAAGCCTTTTCAGATTATCAGAAAAGTGATGTGGAAGCAGTGTATGAGTGAACATGATCATCCCTTCCTCTTTCCAATTATAGCACAAAATAAATATCTCACCTGTCGTGAAATCTTTCTGTCAGTGATTTAACCCTAGAAAAACCTCAACAGAACAGATTTAATCACGTAAAATTTACCTCAGGCAACACATGTCCACTTTTATTGGTTTGCTTGAGAAATTAACTTTAGAAGAGCATTTCCTTAAATAACGTCCTGTATTATCTATTTATTCATTATAAATTAATGTGTTAGTGGGGTCTTACTTAATGTGTCTGTTTAAAAATTCAGGCATAAAAAACAAATGATGAAAGCCACTATTTAACTAATTATTCATTTACTTTTCCTTCAGCTTAGTCCCTTATATATCAGGGTTCGCCACAGCGGAATGAACCGGCAAATATACCAGTACAGGGAAACACCCATACACACTCTAATTTACACACACACTCATAGTTCATCCGATTCACCTATACTGCATGTCTTTGTACTGTGGGCGAAACCGGAGCACCCGGAGGAAACCCATGCGAACATGCAAACTTTACACAGAAATGCTAACTGGCCCAGCCAGTACTCGAACCAGCTACCTTCTTACTGTGAGGCGACAGCGCTAAATAATTATAATATTTTAACAACAAATTGGGGTATAAATGGTTTTATTGATAGATTTATTTGTATAAATATAAAGCAAATTATGTATATAAATATAATATTTATAAATATATATATATCTGTGCTTACCACACATAGACTTTTCATGGGCGGGCCGCCCAGTTATATTAACGGCCAAGTAGATTTGGTGACATTTTTTTTTTACTATTATCATCCTTTTACTTTTTTGTATCCGTCCATTACCCGAACATTCCCGATCGATTAACCAGTGGAAAATCTTCTCTCATTTACCTGTTTGTTTCGTAGCTAGGCTACTGCTCATTCAGTGAACAATCCCACAGACATTCTCACATGCTCTGCAGACCCACAGAGACATGTTTTTTGGCACTTAAACATTCGTCCGGATCGGTTATCTAAACCTCCTAAAACGTCCGGGATTCGGCTTTTGTTTCTAAAGTTGTTGTTAATTGTATGGGTTTTTGTAATACTTTTTTATCTAGGCCTACTTTAGCTTGGCATCGCAAATGACTGCGAGAGCAAGAAAAACAAAAAACATTAAATTATTAATTCTTTAATAAACCACTCAGAAACTCGCTGAAAAAATATGTTCACCATTAGTAATGGTTAATTGCGCATGTGTCTTGTATTAAAAAATCTACACTATTTATTCTTGTGATTATTATAATTTTTTAAAGATATTGCCTGTTTTGTCCCTTTTTAAGCCATTTATTTCTCATTTGCTGTATATTGTATTAATTTGATGTTTATATATTACATATTTTATACATGAATAGTTCAGATGCAAAAATCGCTTAGTGCCGTCTGAAATCTCCATCGAAAATGAACATTTTTGGCAGCCTCCTTTATTTATAAAGAGATATTTCACTTCAAAGACCAGGAAAATAACTTATTATTTGCCATGAAAATAATACTACTGAACATACCCACAGGAGCCTGGAAAAAAAAAATCATCTTAGGGGAAAATTTCAGACGACATTTAGAGGTTTTTGCATTTAAACTCTTCACATCTTAAATACTATGGCAATACTGTACAAAATGTCAGCAGCAGATTTTATCTGTCAGTGAGGGGACATGGCTCCTGAATAGCATTCATTCATTCTCTTTTCGGCTTAGTCCCTTTATTAATCCGGGGTCGCCACAGCGGAATGAACCGCCAACTTATCCAGCACATGTTTTCTGCAGCAGATGCCCTTTCAGCTGCAACAAACAGCTGGAAGGGCAATAACCATTTATTCACACAAATACACTACAGACAGTTTAGCCTACCCAATTCACTTGTTCTTTGGACTGTGGGGGAAACCGGAGCACCCGGAGGAAACCCACACCAACATGGGTAGAACATGCAAACTCCACACAGATACACCAACTGACCCAGCCGAGGCTTGAACCAGCAACCTTCTTGCTGTGAGGCGACAACACTACCTACTAAGCCACTTGTTCGCCCTCCTGAATAGCTTAAAAGTAAAAAACACAGGCCCAGTGAAATGTTTTAATTTAAAAAAGTATTTTTTTAAATCTTTAACCAATTGAGTAAAAAAACTGTGTATAACAGTGTCATAATAAATAAAAATATAGTTAAAAATTACATTATTTTTTGTTTGTCACAAGTTGTTAACCATTTATGTGCTGTGGGTAAAAGGTGTGTTTCAATCCGGCTACCACACAAGTATATTTCAAACCTGTGGAAAGCACTGTAAATGTTTTTTTCATATCTATCACCATCAGAAGTGCTCTGTACTAGTACATGCTGAGAATAAAATGGCATTTAATCACTCTATTTCTGACAAAAGCTAATGGTTGCCCTTGATTATGTAAAACAGTTATTTCTGGCTGCTCTGTACTTTGTTAAAATCGCTGGGCAGGCATGGAAGAACATTACTGACCCAGATTCTCCTTCCTCCAGGCGACAGACAGTGACCAGCACCCCCTGCTGGATAGAGCTGCATCTCAACGGGCCCCTGCAGTGGCTGGACAAGGTGCTCACTCAGATGGGCTCTCCAAACCTTCGCTGCTCCAGCGTGTCATAGGACAAACTCTCCAATCATTTCATATAACCACACCCATATTATAAAAACCAGGAATTACCCTCTATTGCTGCTGAATGCCAAGCAAACAAATAGAGCAGTATCAAGAATGGGAAGGCAAAACAGCCTCTGGACTCCTCAGAGTGTTACTTTATCAATTACAGATCCCGATATTTGCTGTGGGCAAAAACTGCTGCGTACAGTTGAAGCACTTTGAACGGTGACACTCGTGGAGCAAATGAACTTAAAATGAGGGGTCTTCCTCATTATGAATTTTAATGTGATTAAGAAATTTTTGTCTTTCTGTCTGTTTTTGTTTTGATCAAGAAGTGTGCACCGCATTTAATTTGATCTGAAGGTATTGGCATCATGGGCTCATAATATGATTGGTTAAAATCGTAAACGTCATAGCAGACCTTTCTGGCAACCTAAGTGATGCACCAGACAAGCCTTCAGAGGAGAGTGTTTGTTTCCACCACCTTCAGTGAAGGGGTCATGTGTGAACTTTTAAAGTATGTCAACCTCAAAGTATACTTGGGTTTTTTTGCAGCTCACACGTGCGTTTTAATTGTTTTTGCACTAATTAGTTTGTCCACAAGATGTCAACGCTGAACCGGTTGTTTGTGCACACTATCAAATAGAGAGTACTTTAAAAGGCTGTTGCTGTGTCCCCAATTCGCATACTTATAAGTATGTCCTAAAAATATGTACTTTTTTTGTGAAGGAAAAATAAATACATTTGAGAGTGTAACAGAGGAGTGTGCAAGCTTTAAGACATGCCAACTCCTCGTTAACAGATCGTTATGTTGCCCTGTCAATCATCCACACATCATCCACATTTGTGTCATAATGAATTTCTTACCTTAACGGACCCTGCTGAAAAATCCAGCTTAAACCAGCCTAAGCTGGTTTAAGCTGGATTTTTCAGCAGGGGAGAAGCAGCAGCAGGATAATCTCCCATTCTTTCATGCAGAGAAATCTCCTCAGGTCTAAGATAATTATTCAGACGTTAATATCCAAACACGTCTGTATATAAGTTCAGTATTGTTGTTGCAGATGAAATATAACACAGAAAACACGGTTTAAACATTTTCCAGTGGGCTGGATATTAATTAACAGTCATACAAACATTTTTACTGAAGCCTCTACTTGACGGTTGGTCTTGCACGTCCATCATGTTTGTAGTTTATTTACACTTTTCACCTGCGTTTGTAGTTCTAATTCACGTCCAACACACAATGTACTGTGGGCAATATAAGTGGTTAGAATTTGGACGGTTCTTCACTTCAATTTTTTACCGGAAATAGTAGACCATCCTGGAACCTTTGGCTTACTCTTTTTAACATACTACGATATTATTTAGGACAGATGGTATGCAAATTGGGACGCAGAATGTGTGTTCTACATAAGTGTGCCTGAAAAGTGAAGCCAATACATTGTGTTCGCCCCCTTGTGGCTGCCTGTATTATAGGTCATAAACAGGACCCTCTCCATATAAATGAATGGGATGTAAGCAAAGGTTTCATCATTTTAGGTGGCACTTATCATGCTGAGGTCTGATTAAGTGCCGTTTTTTATGTTTTATTTAGTGATTAGCTATAAAATGGAGTGTTGTGTCAAGATTATTTGCTTGAGATTAAATATTTAAGTGCTGCATTAATGCAATGTAATTATTATTCTAATTCCAAGATGACAACCACCCGGTGCTGTTTCTAGCCTCAGTCTAGGGATTATCCGTTTCTGTAGCAACAGTCAATCCTGCATGTCTTTACTTTTGTATGGAGATGTCTACGTTGGCAGATTCTGTTACACAATTGTTTTTCTTGTCACTTCGCATAAGCCATAGCTCTCAAAAAACACTTCACAAGTTGTAATTATGAGAGGTCTACGAGTCTGTGAATGCAATTTACAAGCTGGAATCTTTCAGATATGGCATGAATGAACCTTTTTGATATCTAGGCTCCAAATGAGCTCATCGTTATAAGATGGCAGCGGCAATACATGGCACAGATTAGCTTTATTATTTTACAGTGGAATGAAGTGGAGATGCCTCGTCCATCTTTTTCTAAGTTTATTTATAAACAAATTTTAAGAGGATCACATGCTTATGATTGTTCACAGCTGTTCCAAAATTAGCTCATGACCAATTATCCAATCAGTTGATTCCTAACTCACTATAAATAACCAGTTTTCTTATCTTGATATCTTCGTCTTAAAGAACTTGAATTTCCTTCTTAACCAGGCGGCATTTCTGTGCAGAGTTTTGCTCATTCTCCCCGTGCTCGCGTGGGTGTTCCCTAGGTCCTCCAGTTTTCTCCCACAGTCCAAAACAAGCACCCTAAATAATTGATCACAAAAACTTTACAGTCAAGATCTAAGTGAGTACACCTCTTATTAGCCATCCATATCCGACACTTAGCTACAAACAAGCAAGAGGAGAATAAGCATCGAGATCTACCTGAGCTCAAACTCCCTTCTCGCCCTGCAATGGGAGGGAGGCCAAGGCTCGAGAATCTTAAAAGCTCAGGGCTCTCTTCCGGGACAGCATGCCAAACAAGCTTTAATATCAATCATCAGCTAAGTGTGAACTCTTGAACCGTGGAAAAAATCCCAAGTATACTTCGGGCAGAGATGATTTTGCTTTGTGTTAACCTAAAGCTAGCGCTTTGGGTAACCTTGTCCATTTGTTGTGTGTAGGTGTGCTTGATTAAATTGCACTGCACTGGACGGGTTGAGTGTTTGTGATTGCCATTGGTCTCTTGCACGGTCGACCATGTTTGTACTTTTGACAGGAACTAAGTATGGAAATTTTAAAAAGACAAAGGTACTTACCCTTTATTATGAATAGCACTTGTTTTTTACAACCCAGTGGTGGCATAAACAGGAAAACAGCATTGGAAATTTGTCAGTGACAAATGTTAGTAGCAAATACTGCCATTTCATTTCTTGAACTTGATGGCTACTGTTTGAATTTTGCTTAGCAAAGGCATTTTTGTAACGAGTATTTTTGCATAATAAACCGACTGAAGTTTGCAGATGTATATTTTACTACTGTATTAGAGTATTGTGTTTATCAAAACAAGACATTTATATCTTTACAGTATGGTGTGGTCACATAAGCAACACTCCATTTAGTTGTCAATAATGTAGCAATACATGTTTCGCTTTGGAGAAGTTTGTCGCTTTATTGGCCAATGACAAACCAGAGGCAGCTTGACTGATATGTGTTGCAACCAATCAAAACTGTTCATTTCAATGGAGAGAGCAACTTCCAGCGACCTCTGTCTACGCGAGCGACAGTGACCGTTGGCAATATGGTTGTGGCTGGAAGTTAACGAGAATTATTTATATTATTTATTAAATTTTCCATTTATTGTATTTCATTAATGTCTACACCCACTCCAACCCTAAACCCAACTGTTACAGTGCTGTATAAAACGTAGTTGTATCGAGCATTAATTATGCTATATATTAAATTACCCAATAAATAGTTTTTTTAACGCCTACTCCGTCACAGTACTGTAAAAATATTAATTGTTGTAATTATTAATTATTATTAAAAATGCTGCTATATTAATGTGCATATTGCATTTTTGGTAGGCCGCAAATCCAATCTAGTACTTTACCTGTTGGCGATCAAGTGGGCGTGTCGAGTGACGCAACAAACTTGAAAATCGTACAAATTTATGCAAATGAAGATCGAATTTCTTGAGCGACAGCCAATAGGAGCACCAGTAGACCTCATATGATCATTTCTCAGCTCGCTTAGAAGCTGGTTGTAACGGGTTTCCAAACTCGGTCCTGGAGGGCCGGTGTCCTGCATAGCTTAGCTCCAACTTCCAGCAACACACCTGCCTGGAAGTTTTTACATAGAAAGAGCTTGATTAGCTGGTTCAGGTGTGTTCAATTGGGGTCGGAACTAAAATATGGAGGACACTGGCCCTCTAGGACTGAGTTTGGGCACCCCTGCTATAAGCCTACACAGACCTGCGTTTGCAGCAGATTGCCACCCAGAGCAACAGGCAGCTAAAAAGTCACTGCTAGTGTGAATGAGGCATTATTCAGCGTTACATTCAGGGGTGTGAAAATGTAACATTATAAAACTCTTAGATCTATTTTGAAGATTCTATGGCATACATTACACACATCCTTGGTAAATCCACCATTTAATTGATTATCAGCAGGGATTTGTTACAGTTGTGAAAGAATTTTTCGGGAGGACCTTTAAAGAATTCGATGTGTCAAAGGGAAATCCTGTAAAATTCATCCAGTCAGATGACAACTTTGAATCTCATGAAGTGCTTTCCATGTGTCAAATGTTTGACAAATGCTAGTGAGTCTGAGGCTGAGACTAAAGTAATTATAACTACGAAACACTGCTCACACAGAAGTTACTTCTGTGGCAACACCTGACCAAATTCACGCTGTTATGAAATCTGTGGGGGAAATCTTCAACCTCATGCAAAATTTCCGTTTGCGTGCGTACCTATTGAAAAGACACGATTCCTCCCACAACAAAAACCGCCAAGCAATGGTAAGTGTTACCTTTAGACACCAAAGTTTCCGTTTTAGCATTGACTTTTATCAATATGCTTCTTTGATCGGCACTTATAAGGGGGTCTCTTTCCAGCTAACGACTGCCAATTGGTGAAATTGGGAGATATACCTGTATTGTGTTTAATGTTTTTATAGGGCAAGTACTGCTGGCAGCTCTTGGAAAGCTTATATTTTTATGTAAAGATATATGTCGCAGGATGACTGCCTACTGCCTACATGGCTAGATTTATTGTGTCTAATTTGCTCATCAAATCCAGTACTGACATTTAACTGCAGTTACTCAATTCATGACTCTTGCCTCGATACCAAGAATCTGTTAGATTTTTTATGGAATAATTGATGCTTGTGTTTGATTCTCCTAAGCAGCGTCTTTTGCTTTTAATCTCGCTGTTCATTATGGTGGCAGGAGAAAGCCAACATACTGTTATACTACATCTGCTTATTCCGTCTTCTTTTTATTCATTTTACTATTTTAAGAACGCATCTCCTCCCAGACAGTTCATACTACAACCACCAAACTAACACCAAACCTCCAAATTTTAATGAATTAAGTTGCTATATCTTATCCAACTGATCTGACTTTCTGATCTGTTTTAACAAAACTGAGCCGGAAATTTCAGAAAAGTTCAATTGACTTAGCATTGGACCAAACTTTGTGACCTCATAAGCGCCAGACTGTCATACAGAATAAAGGTTGGGCTCATTTAACTTAGACTACCAATCTGCCAATCACTGATGACCTTTCAACTTACAAGCCACACCCTAGCAACCACTTATGGCACCCTAGCAAGTGTCACATGGATTTCTATTATTAAAAACTGCCCTTGACTTTACATTGGACATACTAACAACATACCAATTCATGCTAACAATACACTAATCCATACTAGAAACATACTGACTACATATCAAACCATACTAACATACACACTAATCATGCAAGCAAACATGCTAATTCATACTAAATTCATGCTAACAACATCCTAGTTTATACTAGAAGCATGTTAGCAACATGTTAATTCATTTTAGAACTTTGGCAATAACATGCTAATTTATGCTAGAACCATGCTAACAACATACTAATTTATATTAGAACCATGCTAATTTATATAACCAACTGCTTAGCAATTACTTAGAACACCTTAGCAACCACATAGAAACACCTTAGCAACTACCTAGCAACACCTTAGCAACCACTCACCCTAGCAAGCACGTAGCAACAACTTAGCAATGCCTTAGCAACCGCCTAGCAACTACTCAGAACACCCTAGCAACGCCTTAGCAACCACTCAGAACACCTTTGCAACCACCCAGCAACTCCCTAGTAACACCTTAGTAACTACCTAGCAATGGCTTAGCAACCACTCAGAACAACTTAGTAATTACCTAGCAATGCCTTAACAACCAGTCAAAACACCCTAGCAATGTCTTAGAATCCGCCTAGCAACCACTCAGAACACCATATCAACTGCCTAGCAACACCTAAGCAACCACTCAGAACACTCTAGCAACCACTCAGAACACTGTAGCAGCCACTTAGCAACCACTCAAAACCCCCTATCAACAGCCTAGCAAGAAACATGCCCATCCACACTAGAAACATGCTAACATTCAGTTGAAGTCTGTTTTTAGCCACCTTTGAATTCTTTCTTTTTTAAATATTTCCCAAATGATGTTTAACAGAGCAAGGAAATTTTCACAGTATGTCTGATAATATTTTTTTCATCTGGAGAAAGTCTTATTTGTTTTATTTCGGCTAGAATAAAAGCAGTTTTTCATTTTTAAACACCATTTTAAGGACAAAGATATTAGCCCCTTTAAGCTATTTATATCCCAAAAGTCTACAGAAGAAACCGTCACTAAAAAATAGCTTGCCTAATTACCCTAACCTGCCTAGTTCACCTAATTAACCTAATTAAGCCTAAATGAAATGTCACTTTAAGCTGTATAGAAGTGTCTTGAATAATATCTAGTAAAATATCATTTACTGTCATCATGGCAAAGATGAAATAAATCAGTTATTAGAAATGAGTTATTAAAACTATTATGTTTAAAAATGTGTTGAAAAAATCTTCTCAACATTAAACAGAAATTGGGGAAAAAAATAAACGTGGATAATAATTCAGGGGGGCTAATAATTCTGACTTTAACTGTATAGGTAGTTAGAACTGTTTCAAATTTAAAAACCACTTTAATTATTGAAACTTTAAACTTTCAGACTAGGCTTTCTCAAGCCACCATAGAGTTTGTCTACGAACTTTACTTTTCTAGTTTATCTTTAACCCATCATGGCCAAAGCGCAAAGTACTGTCCATCTTTCTCGAATATATTGCTTGTATTTAAACATTGTTTGCACTCATGATTTGGAAACAAATGCATACTGTTTTATATTGTATCACATCATCCATATTCATCTACTAGTGCTTAGTTCTTGTTTGCCCTCATTTCCCCCATCACAACTCTTGCATTCACTGTCATAATGGAATTGATGTCAGTTTCAAGAGTGTGACTTTAAATAAATAATCTTTCCTCATGTCAAATGCGTTTCCGAACATTTGATAGATGTATTTCCAAACAAAAGAACATCAGAACTGATTCTACAGATCATTCTTTTTAATTGATGAACAGCTAATGACATGCTCGAACATAGTCCATAATTGTGAGTCACATCATGAAAATAAAAGTTGAAAAATGATCCATTTGTCAGCCCATCTGTCATTTGATTTACAACAACTCTTGACAGAACCATAGGCTTCCTCCTAGTATTGTTTGTTGCTGCATACTTACACTAAAACCGCAAGAAAGTGGATAAGACCACAATCTTGCACCCTGCAACCTGTCGAGCGGCTCCGAATTTATAATATTGAAAGCCAAAAGTCAATACTGATTTCTACTGCCTGATTGGGGTGTTGAGAAAATACAGTAGTAAAAGCAGTATGATGCTGCTGTTGTCCATATTCTTGCGTGTTCCTCATTACTGGATCTTAGCTCTGGACTGGGCGGATTTGGGGTGATTGAGGGTCCAAAAGGTGGGCTGAGTATCAACAGTGGAGGCTGGTTAAAAGTCACTGGTCTTTAACTCTCTTCCCCTGATGACAAACCATCAATCTCATCCTGGTCTCCACCAATAGCCATCCAAAACGCTTTAGCAACCTGGTAAAGGGTGAATGAATTGTAAGTTCAAGATTGGAGGCTTGTTTCGACCACTAAAGAGAAATGAATCTTTTTATGGGATCTAACCATTCATTCACAAGGCAAGAGACTTTTAAAATGGGCTTTAGGAGTGTGCATTTTTTTGGTTAACTATCCCCTATCCAAAACCTGATCATGTGGATGCATATTACATTCACAGTCTATAGCAGAGATGCCCAAACCTTTTTCCTATTAAGAGCCAAAAAGCAAACTTGACAGAGTTGTGAGCAAAATATATATATACACTAAACCGTATATGTTAAATTTTCCATTGGGTAATTACCTAATTTATTTGGTAATATTTCAAAATAACTAGAAAACCTAGCTTTAAATCATGTTAACTAATCCAGTATAATTTGTATCATTTAATAATGACCTTATAACAGTAAAAACATAAACAATCCCATTTATAACAGAATGGAGTTCAATGTGGAAGACACTAGTCGAGCTGCTCCTGCCTTTACCTTGATTTGCTCGCAGATATCTTACATTTTAAAAGTCTGATTCATTTACAACATTTAATTGACTAATTTAATTTAAGTTTGTAGCTTAGCAATAAAACGAAGAAACAAAAGGTTACGTTAAATTAGAAATGACGATCTCTATTAAAGGCATTCGCCCCAACCACCTCCCCATCATTCTCCCTATCTTTTCAGATGAGATGGCGGGCCAAATCAAAGGTTACCATGGGACAACTTTGGCCCGCAGGCCCTACTTTGGGCATCTCTGGTCTATACAGTAGGCATATGCAAGTACTGTACGAGACAACCAAAAATAACAATAGCAGATGTGCAGTATTTCTTCACTTAGTGATAACACCAACTACTGGCTTATAGTGTTGGTGGTGGTCCACAAAACTAGTCAAATGCATTGGTTAAGTGTTTTTAATACATTGCTGTCATGCAAACATATCATGTACTGTGGAGAATAGAAAAATATATTACTGTTAATAGGATAATATTACCTTTTCTGCATGTACTTTCCTCTGTTCATGTGGCAATGAAGAGGCCTTATCTTAAAAAGAAAAAATAATAGTAAAAACAAAACATTGATAAAAACACCTTCAGTTGATTTAACTTATATATTATGTTTGTTTTCTAGAAACTTGATTTTTGTACCCTAAGGTAATATATATTGAGGTATATATTATATATATGTATATACAACAGTTCTGTCTGGTTCTTAAATCTGATTGGCTGTTAGTCGTGTGATATTCTGCAAATAACAGCACTAGTCCAGCCTCTTAACCCTTCACCCTTTTGTATTACTCCACCCACATACAGCAAAAAGCAGAGGACACAGTTTGACAAATATTGCTGCTGTTTGACAACATAATGAATTTTTAAGGCTGTTTTAGTCGAGAATTTAGTTGTTCAGACTGCAACTATGCAGTTTATTTATAAGGATAATGCCTGATTTTAAATATTTATCATTTCGGAGCATCGGTTTCAGTGCATCAGCCTGTCTGAGCAGACCAAAGTGGTGACGTTCTGCCACAAGATGGCGACAGAGACCGCATTATAAGTCCTTTGGGGAGAAGAACAGCATTTTCTCAAGGTAAATTTAAAACTACAGCAGAACAAATCATTATAAATCAGGTAAGTAACAGTCGAAGCCAATCTCTCTCTTTGTGTTCTGTAGTGCTGTATTTATACCACAGAAAACTGCTAGTGTTTGCTTTGCTCTGGCTTTTTCGGGGTTAATTATTGTAAAAACCCAGTTCCAACAGAGAAATACTGGGAATTCTCTGTAGATTGATGGCATTTCATGCCGTTAAGCCTTATATTCTTAAAATGTGAACAAAACCCACCTGTTTTGTCATCACTTTAGGCATTACGCTAGAAAACCATTCAAATACTAGCTCAAATGGCGTTAGTAAAGTAGCATTGTAATAATATTGTATTTTTAATGTGGTTAAATAAAAACTGAAGAAATTAATTTCAAAGACATACAAATCTTACTGAATCCAAACAAATGAACAGTAGTGTTTAGATAATGAGTCTTTATACCTTTCATTTCTTTCAACTTTGTAAAGAGTCGTTCAAAATTCTCCACATCTGGGTCTCCAGCTGTAAGATTAGCCAGCTCCTGAATGTCTATGTCAATCATGGGATCTGTGACAGATATTTCATTACACATTGAACAGAAATGCCTTCCAAATAAGTATTCATAATGTATTGCCCTTAACCAAAGCACTTACCGACTGCTGTATCTACTGTATTACTCTGGTTATTCTCTGCCCTCTGGCTCTCAGTGCCTTCATCTGTACTGTTGGATGGGGAATGAGAGGACTAATAACAGAAAAAAAATGGATCACTTACAATGAGATGAACTAAATAGACAAAGTAATGTTCAATTGCACATTTTTAGTTTGTGAATGTGAAAGATCAAAGTGCACAGTAAATAGACTTATTGATCATGCACTATTAGGAGCACTTTAAAAGAGAAGCACAATTAGAAAAGACTAACCAGTGTTTCTTGACTGGGCCGTGGGTTGTTGTGACGGGAAGCCACCAGACTGCTCATTAGCCCGAAACCCTGACTGTGTTCTGAGGGGAATAAATCATATTTAATTATATATGCCAATATCTAATCGGTCAATCACATGGCAGCAACTACAGTAGACTACTAACATCAGAATGGAGAGGAATGGTGATTAAAGTCAGTATGAAATCAAAATTTCTCTTCTTATTTTTATGGTAGTGCTTATGAGAGAGTGCTTAAGAGAGTGAAATTCATTACCTTTATCTACTTTTCATCTTTTCATACTTATTGCCACTTTAGGTTTCGACCGGTAACATTGCTGATATTTTAACTTACAGTATTTTTAGTAAATATGGATTGTAAGAATCTAATCCTAAACTAAAACTTTATTCATAGATATTAAATAAAAATGCTAATCCAGCAGGTGGTGCCTAAAACAGCAGGAATAACGGTGTTTCCTTGGTTAATGCAGTAAACAAAGCACCATGACCTCAAATCTTGCAGGATTTTATCGATTTCATAAACTACACAGCACTTTAGCATAATGATATAAGATTTAATACCTTGTAAAATAGCATTTAAAACTTTTAAATGACTTTTTAAGTGCCTAAAAGACCTCTAAATTGATTTATCAACTTTTAATACATTTAGGACCCTGTGGACATCCTGAACAGTAACTGAAATAACCACTGTTTACAACTAAGGCCTGCCAAAAACATCAATGAAAACATCCTAAACCAGACCTTGAAGCAGATGAGCTACATAAGCAAAACACCTCATGTCAGCTAGGATCACGAAGTTGATGCAACAATTCACATGGGCTCATCAAAACTGGACAACAGAAGACAAGGTTTGTCTGATCCAGATCCAGAGTCTTGAAACTATACAGCTTTGGGTAAAAACAAGCAAGAAAGACCCATCCAGTGTGGATATTTTCGCAGCACACATTGGGCTCTTTTGTACCAACTGAGTATTGTTTGTCCACCACAGCCTCTTAGAGAAGTGTTGCTGACTATGTTGATACTTTAATGACCACATCTCGTGATAGACAACATGCAATGTCTCAAAGCTCAAATCCTCTCAAACTGATTTTTTGAACATGACAACGATATCACTATACACAAGAAAAAAACTCCATGGTCACAATATCTCAGAGCAGCTTTGGGAAATTCTCAACTACTGTATGTGATGTTATCATACCAATATGGACAAGAATGTCTGAGGAATGTTTTCAGTGCCTTGTTAAAATAATTGCGCAAAGAATTAAGGAATTATCAAAAGAAAAAGCAGATCCAAACAGGTACTAGCATTAGGTGTACCTAATAAAGTGGCCACTGAGTGTACATTTCAAAGTAGGATAATAATACAGCCTCACCATCTTTCATCTCAACGCTGGACCACACGTTGGCATTGAGGGCCTGGATGATTCTTTTTACCCCAGTGGACTCTGGAAAGTCATCTGTGAGGTACATAAAAGTAACAAAAAAGACTAAATTCAATCATGTATGCACATAGTCAAGTCATCTTGCTTAAACTGTCTTTTTTATTTACCATCTTCATCGGGTAGATCTTGTGGGTTAAGTTCTACTAATTCAAACGCATGGGCCAAACACCATTGCTGGGCATCTTGTCTGCTAACACCTGCAATGGTATATTTACATCAAAATTAGCACAAGAAAATGCATACATTGCAGATAAATGAGTGAAAAGCTACCACACACACACCCTCATCGCTGTCGCACACATGGTCACACACTAGGATCAGCACTTCTGGAGCCAGTTCCTCCACTACTGATAACCAGGAGTTGACATTGTTAAGGCTGTCTTTCTGAAAGACAAATAAAAGGTGAATTGAAGGACACAAATAGTTAAATCGCAAACTGATTAACATGGCAATCACTCACAGTTTTGCTGTCAAAATAAATGATGAACGCTTGCATAGACCGGGCCACCTCAGCATTCATGTCGAATGTACTTGATACGACACATAGGCTGACGTTTGCGGTGTAGTATTTGTTGTTGATCGTCCATGGATACCAGGAAACTCTTTCTTCTATTCTGTTAGGCTGCGGTGGTGATTCTGAGCTCAAAATCTCTGTAATTAACACAGACAAAACTGTTAAAAGCCAAGTGTGTATTTGATAATACTGGCAGTAAAAACTATATTATCTATATATATATTTGGGCAGAATGAGTAAATTAACTGAAGTCCAACACTGCCGCCTGCTGGACACAACGAATCACTGGACACAAGGAGTCACTACTTTTATATCCTTTACGTGGTAAAACGTAAGCCAATAATTGTGTATAAGGATGAATACATAAAAACAGATAGATATATACTGTATGCAAAGAACTATGGTAACGCCATTTATAGTACATATGTAACACTATCGTTTAAGTCATAAAAGTTCAAAAGTCTTGTAATAACCCCCCCCCGAAACACACCAAGGTTTTTCCCATGAGTATTTCAGTGACTGCTGAATAAAACATATATATATATATATATATATATATATTTATTTTATTTTTTTTTACTTTATTATTATTTTTTTACAGGGTTTCTGCAGGTTTCCTCTAATTGAAGAATTTTAAGACCCTTTTAAGAACATTATGAATAAAAATTTTAGACTTACACAGGGCTAAACACAAAGGATTTTCTTTTCTAATTGCCCGGTTCGGTAAATACTTTTTGCATTATGGAAGATCATGTGGAGATGTGTTGCTTTAGTTTTTTTCCCTGAATTGGGAATTTATTTTGGAGAATTTGCTGTAAAATGTTTAACAGCTGTTGTAAATTGTATCTCTTTGCAATAAAAAACTTAAATGTATAAAAAAATAAGTTTTGAGATGGATTATAGGTGATTGGGTGTTGGCCAGATTGGGTAGCTTTACGTAGACATAGGAAAATTAAGACCTGTTTAAAATAATTTAAGACCTCAATATTTCAGTGAATCTAAGAGTTTTTAAGGCCTAAAATTTTACTATTGAAATCTAATTGAATATTTATTCGCAGAAAATGACACTAGGTTCATCAAAAATACATGTTTTCCTACTTATATTGGGAAAAAAAAATATTGGTACTGGTACAAAAGTCTGGAAATTTAGGGTACTTTATTTGAACCTACTGTAGCTCGTGCAAATAAATGCAAAATACTTAAACGTAAATTACAACATTGTTGAAGAATATAACAAGCACCAATAATACCTTTGAAAAATTAGTGAATTTTGTTAACTTTGATAATGCTTTATCAGTATTCTGCGATCAGAAAACTGGGTATTATATATATTAAAAAATACATTTACAAGACAAACCGGTAGAAAAGACAATCTGACTTCAATAAAACTCAGTATGATATTGAAGTAAAGTTGATTTTACATTGGCACATTCGTTCAGTAACAGCTTGTGATATGGTCCCTATAGTGTTTATTATTGTACTATAAATATTCGGTCTAAAATCACAAGTAAGTATGACTCCAAAACAACATTAGCACTATTTAGTTGATTGTGAACAATGCTGTACTTTGATGGTCATTGGCTGCTAATATGATTTCTCTATGTAAAATTTGTAAATAACACTTTTCTGAAATTATATTATTAAGGACAAAGTCAGAATGTGCTAATATAAAGCCAACTTTACATTAATCAGTATGATTTACGTGAAATGTACAGAATAGTGTACATTTCTAGATTGATAGCTGGATTTATCAAATTTTTTTTACTTTTAAAATACCGTAACACAATGTAATAATACATCAAGTATTATATGCGATTAATAACGAAAACGTTTACGCGATGCACGCGTTTTGATCTGTAATCAAGTGATATCAGGAAAAATTCTTATTGTTGACAGCTAACATTAGCATAGCGGCAAGGCTAACGAGTATGGGCTACATTTTCCTTATTTACTCACGTCTAATGAGCTCCTCTTCTTTAAAGTTGGAATCACAACTTGTGACTAAGATACAAGGTAGGGTAGGTGCTTCATCTCCTTGATCATCTGCCATTTTAAGCCTTGGAACAATTCAAAATAGCTCCCAATGAAGGTAGCACGTTAGCAACAGCTGTCAACCTCCTGAAGGAAACCTTTCACCTCTAACCTCAACTTGCTTCCGCGTCTGCGCGCGTTTAGAAAATATAAAATAAATAATATAGTGTACCTTTGAAAAGCGCAAGTAAATCCTTTATAAGTTACATGATTAATTAAGAAATAATAATCATAATAATAAATGTGATTTTGGTGTTTCCTCACGGAGAATACCATGCGTCATGTTGCCATAGTTACGGTCAGACCTTTGTTGATGAAAACTTGTAACGAAGCTTAAAATGACCTGAAAACCCTTAAACATTTATTATTCGTTTGAAAAAATGGCCAGCGTCCTCAAAAATAAAGACGAAGTTGGGAATATTTTAGTAAAGGTAAGTTAATGTGAAGTTACTGAAGAACAGATATATAACAGAAGACTTTACTACAGCCGTTTAAGTGTTAAATTTACAGACTTTGAAACTTATGTCACATTTCATGGCGGTGTGTAGGACTATGTTTTTTCTGAATGTTCGTGTGTTTTAGGTCCAGGATGATTTAAGACAGCTAAAAAAGAATATTGTTCAATTTACTGTGCAAGAAAATGGAGAAATTTTGGATATTCAAGCTCTGGATGCAGCCATCATCAGGACAGAAAATGGAATAAGGGTATATAAATTATTACTTTATGATAAATTTACCGTAATAGTTATTTTATAGCTGTTTGTTTGTTTAGGTATTTAAAATAGTTTAACAATAATTTATTATGTTTCCCAGAGATGGGTTGCAGCTGGAAGGGTATCTGCTGCGTAAAACATATGCTGGATAAGTTGGCGGTTCATTCCACTGTGGTGACCCCAGATCAATATAGGGAAGAAAAGAAAATGAATGAATAATTTATTTTAATTTGTAAAATTATTAGATCATTTACATTTAATTTAACAGTTTATTTTAGAATTTGTGCAATGGAATATACACATACATGAAACGTGTGGAGCTTGAAAAAAAATTGGTTTGTAAATGGCTTGTAATTTTGTTTTTCTAAATTTTTTTGTTCATAGAGACACGCAGAGGATTATCTGAAAACCATCAATAACCAGGTTTTGACTCTACCTTCTATTGAAGAGCCTGAAAAGAAGACTGCTCATCCGAAACTTGTTACGTGGTATTTAAACAAAAATTCCCCTACTGAGGCAAATACAGAAATTCTCTTTACAGTATCAGCGATTATGCTCATCAGCAGTTTTATTGGATACCCATATTGCACCATGAACCAAAACATGTTCATCGCTATCTTAACTTTTTTTTAAAAATGTATAAATTTAAGGCCGAGGCAGTGGCGCAGTAGGTAGTGCTGTTGCCTCACAGCAAGAAGGTCGCTGGGTCGCTGGTTCGAACTTTCGCTCAGTTGGTGTTTCTGTGTGGAGTTTGCATGTTCTCCCTGCCTTTGCGTGGGTTTCCTCCGGGTGCTCCGGTTTCCCCCACAGTCCAAAGACATGCGGTACAGTTGAATTGGGTAGGCTAAATTGTCCGTAGTGTGTGTGTGTGTGTGTGAATGTGTGTGTGGATGTTACCCATAGATGGGTTGCGGCTGGAAGGGCATCCGCTGCGTAAAAACCTGCTGGATAAGTTGGCGTTTCATTCCACTGTGGCGACCCCGGATTAATAAAGGGATTAAGCCGACAAGAAAATGAATGAATGTATAAATTTAAATATAAATAGGGCTGCACCATATTGGAAAAATCTAGCATTGTGATATTTTTTTTTAAATATGAATACAATTTCACCAGATAACTTGAATATCTCTTTTGAGAAAGAATTGTTTACATTAGATTGATTAGGGTGATTCTGCAGTGGAGTGCATAAAATCTAATACACAATGTATATTTTTTGGGGTCCCCCAAAACATTTCCGCTGTGGTCTGATATTTGCAGTGCATTTCTGTTTTTGCATGTAATCAAGAAAAAGATACAATTGAAAAAAGTGTTTTACCGTTTCCCGAGTCTAGGAGTATCAAAGTACAGTAACTGAATGTTAAAAATAACTCAGTGAAATAAATCGCTGTTAAAGTTACAAATGGTACAATTTATTATGCCTGGATGCTTTTAAGGTCATTATACAATCACAGGCATCAAAAACACATCCAAATGATGAATTATAATCCCGACTCAACATTGGGTATGCTTGTGTTGTGACTATTGTGAATAATCTCATTGTGATATTGATGCTGAAACAATATATTGTGCAACCCTAATTGCTGTCATGTCATTGAATATTTGCATTAACAAGAAGTTGATCAAGATGTACCTAATACAGTGGCCATGTGTATACAGTATGATTGTAGATTATGTAAAATCAATTGAGATCCAACATATCTAGCCTTTTTTGTAGGCAACCACCATACGAAGCATTACCAATTGCACATCCACATAGAAGCCCGATTCCAGGTCCATCTCCAGGGGAAAAGGTTTTTATTTTTATTCATAGTCATAACATTTGTTAATCTCAGATTAGATCTGAATTCACTAAATCTATCTTTGTAACTTGTCCAACAGCACAAGACAGCATTTATCATGCGTCTGCTACATAACCCTTTTCATCCAAGGAACAAGGAGATTTTCCAACAAAATTATGGGATTCAGCTTCCTCACCTGCAAAAGAGAACTAGTGTGAGTTTCTGAAAGATATGCTTTTATTTCTTTGATATTCAAGAAAGTATATTAAAAGATCAGTGCACCTATAATTGCATATTCTGCCATCTTTTACTTACTTTCACGTTGTTCCAAACGTTTATTTCGTCTATAGCACACACAAAAATTATTAGTTATTTTAATTATAATAATTATATTTTAAGGTGTCCTTGTTAATTTAACTAGTCATTTAACAAGTGAATACTATTAAATAATAATAATTAATACTATTTATTTTCAGTCAGCCAGCCCAAACGATAATGAACTGTCATGCCATTAAAAATTGCCACAATTAAGGTCTGACTTCTTTAAAAATCAGTGATCATCACTGCCTGAAAGATATACAATATAAAGTGGGTCTCAGACCAGACAAGAAGCACTGCATTAAATTCCATTTTCCTCACCATGTCTTCAAAATATGAATATTTATTTTACCCCAGTATTTTCAATAGAGTTTCTGTGCTGGGCTGCTGCTACTGACAGCACTAGTGTTTATGCGGTCTTTTGTCTTGTTTTACGCTTGAACTAAACTTTAACAACTAAATGAATGCATAAGTCTATTTAAATTATTGTAGTTTAATTGCATTACAACATTGTGTTGTAAAAGGAAATTGAAAATAGTCCCATAAACCTTTCCCCGGACATTTATTGTTGGCTGAAAAACACTAACTAGTCAATTGGTGAAGTTTGTGCCTCGTCACTGTTGACACTGGCTTGCTTGGATGGGGACTTGTGGAGCTGCGCAGATAGTTGCTCTTCATAGTTTGGACTTTCAGTGAAATTTAAACCACACTGAACTGAACTTAACTAAACTGAACGTCAACTCTGAAAACTGGACTGACATGGTTTCAATTTACTAACTTCTATGTTAAGTTGCTTTGACACAATGTACATTGTAAAAGCGCTATAGAAATAAACATGAATTGAATTGAACTAGCTGTGCATATAGCCCATTACGCATAATAATTCTTCTTATTATAGTAAGCACGTAGAATATGTGAAACAAGGACACCTTTAAAATGAAGTGTTACCAAATATTTTGAAGAATGATGGTAAGGAATCAGCTTTGGTGACCACTGAACACTAGGCTATTTTGATTCCTTTGAATTTTACGGCCAGCACACTGCACCATCAGACACCAACCAATGGCTATTCATCAAGAGTAACTTCATCAGATTTTTTCGGTGTTACCTTTGTCAGGTCATGTGAACGAAACTGTAATCTGGTGATTGTCCACATAGTCTGTGTCTGTCTTTCGAATGTGAATTGCCCTTTACATGTTCATTTGTAATAGAAGCCCCCATCTTTTACAATTAAGACTTATCGATAGTGTTGATTATATAGCGACCGGTGCTGACTGTTGCCTTAACGCCAGCATCTGTCACAAAAAGAAATGGCGCGTAATAATACATGACTCCAGTCACTTTGCTTTCGAACAGGAGATGCGGATTTGAAGGTCACCTGGTTTGGCAGTGACAGCTAAATCTGTCTGTTGGTAAACAAATTAATCTTTCGAAAGGTCACCATTTGTTTTGGTGCTCTGCTTCCCCCCCTTCTGCTTTCCGCTGCGGTTCTTCCTCTATCTCCTGCATCCTCTGCCTGTCACTCGTGAGGAGGCTGTCATGTTGTTGAGAAGAAGCTATGAGACTTGGCTGCCGAAAGCAGACAGACGCAGATTGCGGCACATCAGCATTCTTCGGAGGACGGCCACCGCCTGATTGCAGTTGTATGGGCTGCTGCTTTACAGCTGTCTCAGGACAGGCACTCGTACCTGTTCCCGCATGCCAATAAGACAGCCGTGGTTTACCCAACTGGCATTCGCTGGCGCTTTGCCTGCTGTGTCTATACCACTATGCTGTCGGCTAATTCTCTGCTGAGTCTCCGATGGAGCTCCCACTGTTTTTTTTTTTTTTCACTTTTCTTTTAAATGTCCTCTTGTACCACTTAAACAGCTGCGAGCCTCTAAACCTTTCCAAACACCTGGCCGGTGCTGGTGGTTTGTCAGGGAGCTCAGTGGTGTGACAATAGGCAGGCCAGAGAACATCAGGGGGAGAATCCGCAACAGCAGGATGAGGACAGTACAGAAGGCCGCTGTCTGGCATGTGCCCACAATTTGACAAACTCACTTTATATGTTTATGAGCACCGAGGAAATGACCGACCTTTTATTTTGTCGATGCTGTTTTGTGTGCTATTAATTCACAAACTGCTTGTTTGGTGTTTCTACACCTAAAAAGTTTTGCCTTTTTAAATAGGCTATCAATTTTCGGTAGATAACGTGTTTTTATTGCCCTTTTTATGTTTTGACATTATGTGTCCTCAGGTGTAATTTGTGACTTTTGATGCTTGTTTTTATTGAAGTGATTGTAAAAATTAACGGCGAATTATATTAACCGCCTTTTACTGCTCTTTGGAAAGTCCTAATTATTGCAGCAAATCAATTTCATCGTGGAAAGTGGCAGGACTTTTGTTTGATTTATGAACTGTTATATGATAATGAGGAGGTGAGAGCATTTTAGGCATTGCTCTGATGGAATTTAATTCTAAAAGATTTCAAACAGCTGTTCGCTTGAGAGAAGGTGCGAGACAAATAAACCGAGTCGTGCTCAAAGTATCCAGAAAGCATTGCCAGCATGTGATTGATTGCTTCAGGGAAGGGGGCTTATTGGCCAGTTTACAATGTCATTAACTGCCTGTATTTTAGCTCCAGCTTTATTTTAATGAATGCAGAAAATCTGTTGGTTGTAATCACACAACATCACCATGCTCCCTCTCGCAAATGTGCACACACTTGTGATTCGAAACAGCCAACGGAAACCAAGAGAAAGAGAAACCGTATTTCTTGACATCTACAAGCTGCCACCAGCCTGATTAATGGATAGTCGTCTCCCGGCCTTTTACAACAAAGTTTTGTTTGGAGGGAAAAATCTGATCGCTGACCCGAAGCTAATAGCATTCTCCATGAGCAAGTTATTGAGTGAAGTATGTTCCCTTTCTCTCTTCTTCTATTATTGGGTAAATGGTGGCTGTAGTGCCTGCAGGCAGGTCTTTTTGACCCAGTGAGACAGGCCAGTGGGTTAATTCCCTTCGTTCTGTCACTTTCAATACCTCTAACCTTTGACCACAAGGCTATCGTTTAGGGTTCAGTAATTCCTCCATGTTTGGACAATGTTTTTATTGCCTTATAAGACATGACCATTACTGCAAACAAGTTTAAAGGCATATTTTATTCAATAATGAGAATTCTGTTTGCAGTTAACATGAATCTTGGACTGATTGCAATCAAATTTGAATAAGCTTGTGAGATTTGAATGTTACCGTGAATGTAAAGTATTAAGAACAGTGAATTAAATGATAATGGATTTACTTTTCTTAATGAAGAAGCCCTTTGTATTCCAGCTTAGGTGAACCATTTGTTAGAAAAACTTTTGTACATTGAATGTAATGAAAACTTAACATTTGCTTTTATCGGTTTTACAAGATTGGGATTCAAAGAGTGGTCACTGGCTCCAATTTGGGGAATTTTGCCATTGCACATCTACAACCCAAACCACCACCTGAATGCCAAGATGCAGTTGCAGGTATAAAGATTTTTTTATTTTATTTTTTTTATTTTTTTATATAATAATATAGAAAGGTTATGTGTATATAAATTTTTCCGGCTGATTTTGAAGAACTTCTTAACAAGAGAAGTGGTTTTATTGTATGGGTAAAATATATATATATATATTTCTTATTAATTATGAATTAATATTTAAAACAAAATATTTAAAAGAATTGTTTTGAGCGCATTATGCAGCATTAATCTAGTTTTAATTGCCACACAGTGTTTCAGAAATCATTCTAAATATGCAGTTTTGGTTGTTAAAAAACATTTGGTATTTTCTATAAATATTTTTTTATATAGACACCACATTTCATTACTCTTTGACAAACAGAATATTCAAAGGGACAACAGCATTGGTTAAAAATCTGACACTGTTGCTTTTGATCAATTTAATGCATCCTTTCTGAATAAAACTGTTAATTTCTTTAAAAAAAAAAAAAAACTTACAAAATCAAAACCATGACATTAGAGCTGTACAATATTGAAAAAACTGACATTGCGGTATTAATATTTATATTTTTGCTACGCATATTTAGTATAAATTTACCAGATGGGTTGAATAGCTTTATTTGCAAAAAAAAATCATGATTTTAGATTGAATAGGATGCTTTTGTAGTAGAGCACATATGCATAAAATGTATTAAACCAATCACAGGCATTGATAAAAACAGTAAAGCAAAGTTAGAAATGAAATAAATGCTTTAGGGTATTCTGGGAGTCTAGTATTATTTAAATATACAACTTGAATAATGAAGTAAAATGACACAGTATAATTTTCATTATGTTTACTGTACATGAATAATTAATATTTTTTAAATTACAAAAATGTCAATTTCTTCTGTATAAATGCTTTAAAACTGGCTTGAAATGCTTACACATTCACAGGCCTTAAAACACACAAAAATATACAGTATATATATTTTTGGTAACTTTATGGTAAAACTTTGCAATTACCGGTACTCTACAATAAACTATGTTTTTAATTGTGGCTCCTAGTCAACTATATCCCAAATCGACATTGCAGATACAGCAATGTGACTTTTGCGGATAAGCGCATTGCAATATCAATGCTGAAATGATATATTGTGCAGCCGCTTGACAGTGTAGAATACAATTTAGAATGTTCTGAATTTACATTGTTTCATTTATGCCCTTTTTGTGTTGATGAGTAAAATGTTACAGCCACAACCCCTGAAATATTTTGTGTACAGATTTTAATGAGCCTTGTTTTTCATACATTTCAGAGCTGCAGCCCTCCGCAGCCGACCTCTCTTCAGTTCAAACCCCAGTACAGCCCAAAGCTGTCCATGTGCTCCAGAGAGAGGACAGTGGCCAAAGTAAGATGGGTCAGTCTGTTTCCACAATGTCATTACACACTTGCGGCCTACATTTAAAGTTAGAAGGTCAATTTGTTTGTATCCATAATTCTACTTATATTATTTATTTATTCCCTGCAGTCTGCATTATTGAGGGAGAAGACTAAATTAATATGAAGTTTTAAGATCATTTTATGCAGTCTGTGATATTTTGTTATATTTTTTACTAAAATAACAGTTTATACAGTAGTAATTTTACGTGTTTGGAAAAGTTTTTGCACTGAATAAATTGTATATCAGTAAACTTTAACATATATGTAATGTCTAAAATCATAATGCATATGCAAATAGATGTCCAAACATAGATGTCTTAGTTAAAAAAAGACTAAATTTGGGTAGTCAGTGAAAATTTTATAAACGTCTTACAAGATGAAAGCTAGATCTAATTCTTATTGTCACCTTTGTAACCCATCCTCAGTTGACTACTACTTACAGTACATATGTTTTGGGAATGTTCAGTGGTGATTCTTTTTTTGGAAATTTAAATGCTCCACTCTTTTGGATTTTCTACTTGTAGACATACCTCGGGATCCCCTACTTTTTCTTGTTTTGGATGACTCCATTCTACAACTAAACCCTCAGCCAAAAATGACTTTATCAGCTATTAGCACTGCTGCTAAATAGATTATTTTGAAATTATGGATTGAGCCATCCACTATATTTTAGAGATATCCCCTTCCTGGAAGGTACAACCGCCAGGCTTAACAGCGTAACAGGCAATACTATTTGAGGCTGGACCAATATTGTTGTGATGTTGCTTGACAAACATAGAAGCTTTTTGATTTTTAGTTATTTTAATATATTCATAGATTTTCCTTCAGCTTAGTTCCTTTCAAGAGTTCATGTTCAGATATGTTCGGCGCTATTAGCTGGTTTAGCATGCTGTCTCAGGAGAGAACCCTGAGCTCAGAGATAATTGAGCACAGGGCTCCCGCCTGGTCAATACGCATATAAGAGGATCCAAGATCAGGTAGGTCTCGAGAGTTCCCCCTGGTAAAGGGAGGAAAAGGAGAAGATGGAGTGGATGGGGGGATTCTTCCTAAACGAAGATAAGGTAGAAGGGTGAAATCCTTCGAAATATTGTTAGTTTGAATTAGTTTAATTGGATTATTGCTGATTACGGATGAGAGGCCAGCCGTGATCAATCATATCACATGCTCCTCTTAAAATTAGTTGGTAAAACATTAGGGGTCGCCACAGCGGAATTAAAAAACACCAACTTATCCAGCAAATGTTTTACACAGCGGATGCCCTTCCAGCAGCAACCCAGTACTGGGACACATCCATACACACTTATTCAAACACATACACTATGGCTAATATAGTTAATTTAGTTCACCTATAGCACATGTGGGGACTGTGAGGGAAACCCGAGCACCCAGAGGAAACCCAGGAGAGCAATGGGAGAACATGAAAACTCCACACAAAAATGCCAACTGACCCAGCGGAGACTCGAACCAGCGACCTTCTTGCTGTGCCACCGTGTCGCCCCTATTTTTATATATATTTTACTTTTTTCCTCTTCCCTTTGTACAAGTGGACGGTTTTATGGCATCTGCTTTTATATAGTTTTATATCTACATAGCTGAATTTGAATAAAATTACTACTATACTGTAAGACTTCTATTAAACACAAAACTTCTTATCTGTTGATAGATGAGTCAAAAAAGGTTTATAAGCAGGAGATGGATGTGAGAAGAGATGGAATGGCTCTTAGAAGATCAGCAATGGAGAGTGCAGAATCCAGACTCCTTCGCGCTCCTCCACCTTCAGCTGCTTCTGCTAGCTCTGACAACAGAGTACTGACTCGAGGTTTAGCCAGACTCAGCCCAATTAACCCACAGGTATTACTTATTTACACTGACATAAATAAAGTTATTTATGGCAAAGATACATATAGTGTGTTCAGCTTTCTTAGGTTAAAAAACAGCTCATAGAATGTGATTTCAACTTGTCCCATTGTAACTATGCTTGCATTCCACTTCTAATAAAGGTTTGGTTCTCAAAGGTACTCATATGTTGCATTTCGCCTGTGAATAAATAATAAACACACAATCTGCTCTGGAGAGCTTTAGACCTGACTGATAATCAATTTCCTTTTTCCATGTAAAGTGACCTTTTACCCCTGGTGTAATGTTAAATGTGTCAGAAATAGCTTCAGGGCTGATATAGGTAATGATTTGAAATGGTTCCCTTCTGCAAGCCAGTGGCCTTCAAAAAAATTAAAAAAATATATATACAAAACCTGTATTTATATACAGTTGACATCAAAATGATTAACACTCCTTTGAAATTTTTTTTTTTTTCAAATATTTCTTAAGTGATATTTAATGGTTTAATTTAAAGGAAAGTCTTATTTGTTTTATTTCGGCTAGAAGGTTAGAATAAAGGCAGTTTTTAATTGTTTAAAAACCAATTAAAGGTCAATATTATTAGCAGTATTGTTTTTGATTGTCCAGAGAACAAACTGTTAAACAATAACTAAATTACCCTAACTTGCCTAATTAACCTAGTTAAACCATCCGCTTGTTAAGTGGTGACGTGTTTGTGACATATGTATACTGTTTTCGGGTCCAAGCAGCCATTCATTTGAGTGGAGAAATCATTCGTTTATGATCACGTTTTATTCCTATCACACATTAAAGTTAATTTTATATAAGATCGTAGTGTACACAACAATCTCTGGGCTTGCTGCATAACAAATACCAAAAATGTAACAATTTATAAAAAAAAATTATCACTTTCTGGCCATCGGATATTAGGCATGGACATATATACTGCCACCGTGATTTTCGAAAACATTAAATAGCTTTGTCACCGTTTATTATTACCATTTCATGAGTCTCCCCATTCAGTTGAATAGAGCGCTTGGACCCGGAAGCCGCTTTGCGTGACGTCACACTTAACAAGTGGATTAAATTGCACTTTAACCTGAAGACTATCTTGAAAAATATCTATTAAAATATTATGCACTAATATCATGGCAAAGATAAAAGTTATTAAAACTATTATGTTTAGAAATGTTTGAAAATCTTCTCGCCGTTAAACAGAACTTGGGGAGAAAAATGCTAAAGAATTAAACTTTCACAGGAGGTCTAATAATTCTGACTTAAACTGTATATATCATTAAAAAAAACTTTACTGAACCCCATTTTAAAATGTATTTGTAACCTTAATATCAAATGCATTTCTCTCTTCTTAGAGTCTTCCAGTGCCAGCTGTTGTCAGCAAATATCCTTTCACCATAGTTGATGGTCAGATTGACCCGGATGCTGCTGACTTCTGTCGGTATAAAAAGCAGTATTGTCTGTACTGGGGTGCGATGGTAGAAGCTCTTGAGCGGCTGCAGAGGATGCTGTTGGACTTTGCTGTGCCACTGGCGCGGGTGTGCGGGGAGAGGCTGGCAGCTTGCGTGCAGAGTGGTGAGCTCAACTGGAGAGACGGCAGGGGCCGGTGCACCCATGTGGAGAAGCTGCTGTCGGTGCTGGAGAACAGGGATGAGGTATGGGACCTGATGTGTCAGCCCGGCCAGCGCTACAAAGGCAACGGGGGGCATCAGGCAGCGGCTGTGCGCATCCAGACCTGCTGGAGGCGTTACTCTGCCCGTACCGCCTACCTGATCCGGCTTAGGTCCAAATGGGCGGCAGAAATTATTGCCATGTCTCTGCTGAAACGTGCCAAACTGTGCCATTTGAAGAAGAGTCTGCAGGCCTCACGTCTTCGGCAGCTGGAAAACTTCCACAGCAGGGCAGAGGTGAATCATATACACATTTATACAACAATTAGTTCTGGTTCTTGAGTCTGATTTTGATGTAAGTTTAAGGGTGCTGTATCTAAGTTTTCGCCTCTTCTAAGGCATAAAAATACCATAATATGTTTGCATATATTTTAAAAAACATGTTAAGTGAACATACTTGTTTATCTGAAAAACAATGGTAAAGTCAGATGTTCTGCTTTGAAAATGTGCATTAAGTGCCGGAATGTCTGTCTTTTTTTTTTTTTTTTTGGTCATTTAACCTACCCAATGCCAGTTCAGCAATTATATTTTAGCAAATATATTTCAATTCTAAAGTTCCATTTCAAATGGTTTATTTTAGTTTCAAGATCTGAGGTGACCTATCTGCTGCTGCTTTCAGAAGTATGGCAAAAAATGGCATGTGAAATGGCATTCAAACTCACAATATTAGCATTTAACATTGAATAAAGCACATGAGGGGTACCTGAGGTTATCACTTTCAGTTTCCTGTTGTTCAGCTGCAAGAAATAGAAGCCATTTCTAAAGTATAAAGTTCTCCTTTTAATATGGAAAATATTCCTTCTATTGCCTGCCATTGCTTTTATTTTAACGTGATTTATATCAGCCTTCAATCAGCCTTTTGGCTTGACAGTCATGCACACTGTTGTTGGTGTCATCAATCTGGCAACCTGCACTTGCGTATGTTTTGAACCATGTTTTTTGTTCCAATAATACATTGTTGTTTTGATATAGTGAAAAAATATACAAAAGCACGCAAAAAGTGCTAAATATATTAAAAACGGGGCAACACCAAATCTCCAAAAATGCCAATTTATTAAATTAAAGGCATGCATTGTTTTGAGCACACAGCTCTTCATCAGACAATGTTTATCACAATAAGTTGCTTCTTTTTGTACACTTCCAGATCACATGATCTCCCATATTATCTCACAACAAGAAAAATAAGAAAAAACAAACATATTTTAAATATATTTTAAATTAAATATATTCTTAATAAGATATTTAAAATGAAGATACAGAAACAAACCCTAATATTATATCAGAAAATAAAGAAAACACAACAGAATAACAAAATAATACAACAAAATGTACAACACATCGGGAGGGAGATCTTAATAAACTGCTGTTACAACGTGAAGCTTTTTGAATTTTCACTCTAGATACTTTGTCTCTAAGAAGTTTAAACGAGGAGTTTGATATTTGTCCTTTTTTTTTAAAATAATTTTTAATGTTGAATTAGGTTTTTGGGTAAAGTTTTTGCCCATATTTTATTGTGTATTTAGTTGTATTTTTTGTTATTCTGTTATGTTTTCTGTATTTTTGTTTTGAATATCTAATTTATAAACGTGTATTTTCTCTATTTTTCTTGTGAGATAATATGGGAGATCATGTGATCTGGAAGTGTACAAAAAGGAGCAACGCATTGTGATGAACACTGTTTGATGAAGAGCTATTTGCTTGAATTGTTAAACGCTTAGTCGCAGCCTTTTTAATTTAATAAATTGACATTTTTGGAGCTTTGGTGTTGCCAACTTTTGAATTTATTTTGTTTTGATATAGTATAAATGAAATCTGGATGTACTATTGCATTAGTTCACTTATAGTTCAGTTATTGAATCATTTATTCAATAATATGTGTTAAAACACAGGCTTTATTCAACACTGTTCAAAATACATCAGTGTTGTAGTAGTTCTGCTGTGAAACTGTTGTCTTTGGCAGAGAAAACCAGATAAAGTATTTGAAAAGATTGTATCTAAAATGTAAGTTATTTCAAATAAATCCATTTTATATTTAACTAAATGCAAAAATGTTCAAACGAAAATACTGTATATCTATTTGAAAACATTCTTGTTCTAGTATATTGGCTGGTTTATTCTCACCAAATATGACCAGTAATTAATTAAATCATTGAACAATTCATTCCAATGATATGTTACAAATGGCTGATTCATTTAGGAAGGAACCACATGATTTCTTATTGGTCGTTGAATCATTGACTTAAATGATTCTTTCAAAACTAGATTGATACAGGAATGAAACAAATGTTCCACACAAACTTTGTTTAGGAATATTTTTGTTTTTGATACAAAACTGAAAAAAAAAAATTAGTCTGGACTTTCCTTACTTCTCAATCTTTTGAATGGCAGTTCCTAAATCCACAGCATAAGAAAATACAGAAGTTCCACTCACAAGAGATTTGTTCTGACTTGCTTAAACACTTGACCACTGACGTATAAGTTTCTATTTGTCAGACCAGATGTTTCATCTGTGCTGTCATTCCTGTAACATCTTTATGAATTTCGCATGTCTCTTAATTAGTGCCCACATGTTCATTTATCCTCACCGCCACTCACCGTGAGACGAGACACAAGCTTGTGTATGTTTCCACCCTTTAAACACTCACATCCTTTTAATTAAGCCTTAATCTTCCCCTGGCAGAAAGCTTCATGTAGCCTGCTAATTGAATTAATAGAGGAAAGATGTTTCTAAGCATGCACTTAGCTGATTTAATTAATGTGATTTATGCTTGGTTTGTCTCAATGAGACCCAGGGAGAAAGACGAGCATCATTTCCTCCCTTTGCTGCCATCGGTGGGCCGACAACATGATAAATCCAACGTGCTGGGTGCTGTCTGTCACCCATCACTTTTACTCTCTTTTATTCTCTGCTGTGTGTGTTTCACAGAGTCTGGCAACCAACTGGAAACACATCACCTCCGCCAAAAGGACTATCATCCATGTCCCATCACTGGGTAATTCATTTCAATCTGCCGTGAGGGCTCCTGGTTAGATAGTATTTCTGTAGAGAGGGCAAAAAACAAACACGTTTATATATCAAAACTTGTCAATGAGGCTTTCGCTGGCTATTGGAGATGATGATGATGATGATGCATGTGAATTGTAATCACCAGCAGATGGAGTGTGATTTTTGCACTGGGGGTGGCTGAGGAGAGGCCTGTGTGAGCTTAGATAATTAAGATGTTGAACCCTATTGTTTTTATTGCCTCGCTCTGTTAGTTTGCATGCATTTAATCATTTCATTATAGAGATTAGTTTCTTGCAATGTTTTTGAGAATTTGGTCCATATTTACAATATAGTCTCTCAATAATTTATTGGGTTAGTTCACCCATAATGAAAAAAAAAATGGGGAATCGATATCGCAATGTGTGTATCTGCAATAGTCACATCACATGATTAGATTACTTATTACATTTTTAAAGACAAAGATATTATTAAAAAATATTATTATATTATTGGATAAAATTATACCATTATGATCATGTTATTTTACATTAGTTTTTTCAGTTTTTGTATTTGGATACTGTTAGATTCTTCAGAAAACCATAAAGCACCGTTTATTTAACTTTTATTTCAAGAGTTCGCACTTAGATATGGCTTGATGATAATAGCAGGTTTGGCATGCTGTCCAGGGAGAGAACCCTGAACTTGGAGATAATTGAGCCCAGGGCTCCCACCTGATCAATGAGCATGTAAGGAGGGTACGAGATCAGGTGTTCACGAGGGCTCTCCCTGGTAAAGGAGGAAAGGGGAATATGGGTTGGATAGGGGTTTCTCTGGAAACTCTGACTTTAACTGTATGCTTATAACTTATTACATTTTATGCAGATGCAATGCATTGAAAAACATGATCACCTTAGTCAATCTAAATTTATGAAATCTTTTAGAATAGAGCTATTTGAATAATTTAGACAAATTATTTTCATGTCGCAATACACAGTTGAAGTCAGAATTATTAGTCCTCCTGATATATACAGCCCCCCTGTATATTACCTGTATATTTTTTTCCTAGCTTCTGATCAATAGAAAGCAGATTTTTTCAATACATTTCTCAACATAACACTTTTAATAACTGATTTATTTTATATTTATATTTTATTAAATATTTTTTCAAGACACTAGTATTTAGCTTAAATTGCAATTTAAAGGCTCAACTAGGTTAATTAGGTTAACTGAGTAAGTTGGGATAATTAGGGAAATCTTTGTTTAATTATGGTTTGGTCGGTAATATAAATGTATATCAAAAAATATATATTGCTTTTTTTGGACATGTTAATCATTTAGAAAATATTTTAGAGGAGGGCAAATAATTTGGATTTCAACTGTATATCGCAGCAAAAACTATTTTTCTCAATGTTAGATTTTTCCAATATCGTGCAGCCCTAATTTATTCCCTCATTTTGTTCTAAATCCATGAGAAAATCATTCATCTTCAAAACACAAATCAAGATTATTTTTTATCAAATTTGAGGAATCTTAAATATTCTGTGACTTTCTTGGGAGTCTATACATTGAAAACTCTGATGCCTCAAAACCCTTTAAAATCCAGCTATAAATTGAGTGGTTGAATTCAAGACATAACTGCTTTATATAATGAAGAAATGCTATTTAGAGAGCATGGAGATCATGTTGGATGCAAAATAATTTACTTTAGTTGTAGCAAGATAAAAACGTGAATGAATATCTCAAAAATGAATCAGTAAATCAACTGCAGAATGACATCAATACAACATCTTGCAACTTTTTTGTCAGGTAAAACTACACATTTACCTCAGCAAACCCATTTTGAAAACAAATCTCCTCAGAAGACTTCAAACCACTTGATCCGTATAGATTTCATTTTTGACAATTTTACAAATGCGTATAAACGTCACAAATTTAACAGTGAACAGACTTGGTGTAAAGATAGAAATTGTCTGAGATTAAATAACAATATTATCAATTGTGTTTTCAGAAGATAAACAAAACTCTTATAGAACACAGAGGAGAGTAAATGATGACAGAATTATCAATTTGAAATGAGCTAACCTCTTGAAGGTCCCATAAAAATTAAAATAAAATGTTTTAGATGTTAGTATCAGTATTGTTTGTGTAAGCTAGTGAGCACCAAGACAGTGAAAGAAATCACACTTAGAACCAATAAAAAACCAATATAAACTTGTAAAGCTTGTAGTTTGTCACTTCCACCTAAATGAATCAACTGTATTATTTACATCACCTCACCTTCAGTTTCTCATCAATTCTTGACCAATCAAAGCTCTCTAGTATCTGATATGCCCCGCCTCCTTTAAGATGCTTTTCATTTGATGCACTTGAGCTCAACATCTCTTACTGGCAGAGAAGTGAGAAAAACTAAACCCTATTGGCTTTTTTTTTTTTTTTTAATGAGAGAGGATGTCCCACCCTCTCTTCATACTCAACACTGAAAAAAAAATGCACAATTCAAATCACTTCAGGAGAACATTAAAGGGGTTAATTTACCCCAAAATTAAAATTCTTTCATAATTTACTCAAGCTTTTTCTATTGTAAGAAGCTTGTTCTATTGTACACAAAAAGCATGAAGAATGTTGAAAACTGGTAACCATTAGCATCTATAGAATGTGGGGAAAAAAGCAATACTATAATAGTCAATGCTTACCAGTTTCCTACATTCTTTAAACTATCTGATTTTGTGTTCAACAGAACAAAACAAAAATCTACTTTTGAAACAAGTCAATGGTGAGTAAAGTTTAGGTGAACTGTCCCTTTAAAATCTCCCTTTGGTTTGTTTGATAGGATATTCCCAGCCTCGACGACTCAGTCTCAGAGGATATGATGTGCTGCAGAATACCCAGATGGGCCGACTGTGTGACATCAGAGGTAAAGGGTTTAATCATGACACAATCAAATTGAATTTGCAGCATGAAAACACACGGAAGCAAATGCGGCAGTGTTTGTGTCACACACAGATGAGAATGTGGAGGTCATCTATGTGTCTCCGGTGCGCCTGGGAGAGGATGTTCTCCAGTATTACACTCGTCTGCTGGGCCTGCAGACCGCCATTGAACTGGGTGATGCTTCTGCAACTGAGTCACACTCTGCCAAACGCTTTACCATCCTCATGCCAGAAGCACTGGAGGACTTTTCAGTATGAAAACACACACACACACACACACACACACACACACACACACACACACACACACACACACACACACACACACACACACACACACACACACACACACACAGAGAGAGAGAGAGAGCAGGGTGTTCTATAACAGAACTTTTGTTTCTCTTCAAAGAATTTTTAAAGAATAATTTAATGTTATTTATTTCTTGCCTATAGAGGGCGACAGAGGCGACATGTGTATTTACAACTCTTAGGTAAAACTTAGGTTTTAGTGCAAGAAAAACAGAGGCTCTTTTTACATGACACATTTAACAAGATTCCAAGATATGAAAAAATTCTTCCTGAAACAGTAAAAAATGCTTGAAATTTTTTTCGTCGCATCACTGCTTTTAAAATGTTTCATTTTAATATGTGATTCTTCACACAACGTGTCAAGCTGTATATCCAGTAGGGGTGTGATGAGACGCTTACACCATGAGACGAGAAATGAGATTGTGTACAATTTCACATGAGAAATGGAACTTCTTTCCACAGATTTTACTTTTTAACTTGTGTTCAGTGGACCGTCACGGTGGCGCAGTGGGTAGCACAATTGCCTCACAGCAAGAAGGTCGCTGGTTCAAGCCTCGGCTGGGTCAGTTGGCATTTCTGTGTGGAATTTGCATGTTCTTCTTGTGATAGTGTGGGTTTCCTCTGGGTGCTCCAGTTTCATAAAACTGCGTAAAACATATGCTGGATAAGTTGGCAGTTCAATCCGCTGTGGTGACACCAAATTAATAAAACATTTTTAAAAAATCATCAGTGATGATAATGGCTGGTGTGCGTGTCTCCAGGATTTCACTGTGTGTGCACTCGGTGGAGATGTGTGTGGCTGTGGTCATATACTGGCTCGATACATGCAGAGAATAGTGTTAAGCAGCTATGTGTGTGTGTATGGAATATCCTGTCACAAAATGCGAATAAAAGTCACACATAATAGTATTAGTTTGATTTTGGCGTTTACATGTCTGTACTGCACTTTCATATATTCATTTTCTTTTCGGCTTGGTTGCTTTATTAAACAGGGGTCGGCAAAATGGAATGTATAGAAGTCTTGAAAAATATGTAGTCAAATGTTATTTACTGTCATCATGACAAAGATAAAATAAACCATTCATTAGAATTTAGTTATTAAAACTATTATGTTTAGAAATGTGTTGAAAAAAACTCCTCTCCGGTAAACAGAAATTGGGGAAAAAAATAAACAGGGGAGCTAATGATTCAGGGGACTAATAATTTTGACTTATAATATATATACACACACACACACACACACACATATATTCAATTCATTTTAATAACATTTTTAACAATTATTATTTCACATAGCAAGCATGCAAGCAATAAATAAAAATTAGAAATATAAATAATGTGACCAAAATGAACTTTGTAATATCAATTGTTTATTTAAAATATAGTTATATAAAAACTAAAATAATCTATTAAACTTTTTTTTTGATATATAAATAAAACAGAAACACATTCTGTTCAAATTTATTACAACATTTATTAAAAATAAAAGTTTCTCTTTCAAAACATAGCATTTTTGTACTTTTCCTCTACATTTATCATTGTACTAATAAGTAAATTGGATATATAGTATCCAATATATATCTATATAAGATATATATATATATTTTTTGACAAATACAGATATAGATATATACGCTACCAGTCAAAAGTTTGGGGTCTATGCAATATTTAAATGTTTTAAAATAAGCTTCTCCTGCCACCAAGGCTGCATTTATTTAATCAAAAATACAGTACAAATTGTAAATTAACAAACAAATTGTAAAATAACTATTCGATAGCAGTTTATAATTTAATTTAATAATTTATTCCAGTGATTTTAAAGATGTATTTTCAGCTTCATTACTCCAGTCTTCAGAGTCACATGATCCTTCAGAAATCACTTAAATATGAATTATTATTATTATTATTATTTTTATTATTACTACTACTATTGGTAATAGTAATAAAAGCAATAAAGACTGAAGTAATAATTTCATTTGAAACTACATACAATAAGAAAGCAGATATTTAAACTTTTATAAATATTTAACAATTAATTTTTTTTACATTTTTACATTTAATAAATGCCGCCTTGATGAACAGAATAATTTTTTTTAAAACAACATGAAAAAAAAAAACGGACCCCAAACTAGTAGGTAGTGTATATATTTTTTTTAAGTTAAACATTACCTTAAAAATCAGTGAGCAACCGGAAGATGATAGAGAAACTTGACAGTACAAACTATTCTTGAATCTTTATACTTTGCAGTAAAGCCAAGTTTATTTTATGCAAATGAATTTCTAGAGTTAGCATAGACCTAACTGACTCCACATTTTAGCAGTGCCCTTCTGTTATTTATTGCCGCATAGCGCACGAGCGGCACGCGCTGCCTCTTCCCTGTCGATTCTTCTCCGTGTGTAAACTCTGCCAGACGTGTCAGCAGGATAAATCTCTGTTAGCCGTTGCTGCCAGCGTGGCGTGCCAATGACAGACGGGACAATTCTGCTTGGATCAAACATACAGATGTGGAGTAATTAGTGCTTTCCCCACGGAGCCCATCACTAAGCACACAGTAAAGACAAGAGGCGGCAGAGGTGTGCCGTCCTCCCCAGACTCTCCTTTATCAATTTAACGTGTTGGAGTACAGGAGAGGTCATGACCCCTCCGGCTGTACGTAATGGGCTCAATGTGTTTGCGCACGTTCATAAATTACAGCCATAGACAAAAGGAGGGGTAAGACCTTAGAGCAGGAGTAGAAAGGACAGTTATTTATGTACACAAAGACCGCTGAGATTTCACCTTTTGGGAGGAAATATACATTACAAAAATGTATTGCTGTTATATGCATTCTCTTTATTAGAGCTTATTTTGTTAGGAAGATACAGTGTTAAACTGTTTATGATCACTGATTACAATTTTGAAAGTGCCTTTTTTCTCATTTCTTAAAGCTGTTACATTGAAAAAGTAACTTTTACATGAAAAAAATATATACTTTTGATTTTAAAATATATCAATGACCAGATTTGTTTATGCAGATCTAGAAGACATAAGAGGTGGTTAACTATCACAACTGTGACCAGTAGTGTTCAACACATTCTCTAAAATGAAATCAATTGAATTGCAGTGTAGTACACTATTGTTAACTGCCATAAAACCTAATTGAACCAACATAATATCAAAGGAGACAAAATGTTTGGGTGTTATGGAGGTCTACAAATTAGGCATTTATTTCTGTAGTTTATTAATTTTGCATTTTTGGGGGGGTTTGTAGAACTGTTTTTTAAGCTGGATTTGTGGAACTGTTTTTTAAGCTGTTGTAAAATACTTTCCAAACACCTGTGTGTGTTGCTGTGTCAATAAGCTAAATCAATAAGTCCTGTGAAGCCGTGGATTGCAGTGAATTTATAACTGCGTATACAGCACCTTTTTGCTGTTAGAAAATCACTGTAAGCCATGGCTTTTTGGTGCTTATTGTTTTAATTTACTCACCCTCAAGTGGTCTCAAACCTTTATTGATTAACACAGAAAATATATTTTAAAGATTGTTGGACATGGAATGTTGTTTACACACCACGGAAGTTTCCAGCATTTCTAAAATACAGTATGTTGATTTGTGTTCAACTGTTCAACAGAAACAAAGAAACTCAAACAGATTTGGAATGGATGGAAAGTGCGAAAATATTAGTTTTCAGTTTTGGGTTAAAGGGATAGTTTACCCAAAACTGAAAATTCTGTCATCATTTACTCACCCTTTACTTGTTTTAGACCTGCGCAGCAAAATAATAATAAAAAAAACACATTTTTTTCTACCCCAAATATCTAAAAATCCCTTAATCACAAAGCTTTTTCTAAAAAGTAAAAATGTAAAGTAAAAAATATTGATTTATTTTCAGAAATAGTAAGTCAAAATTAAGACAACATTTTCTTAAAACAAGCTAAATAATTTGGCAATAGAGTAAGCAAAATAGTCTTGCTTTTGCTTTGAATAACATCATTTTGCTTACCCCATTGGCAGACTAGTTTGCTTGTCAAAAGAAAATATTGCCTTAATTTTAACATATTATTTCTGAAATAACTGTTAAATGTTTTTAATTGACTAAAAATGCATGGTGATTTAAGGATTTTTAGATATTTGGACTAGAAACAAGAAAAAAAATCAACCTCTTAGTAAGAAAAGCTTTTTTGCAGTGTGTTCGACTTACTGAACAGAAAAGAAGATATTTTGAAAAAAACTTAAAAACTGAAACCATTTTATAATTGTTAAATGGTTTTCAGCTTTTTTCAAAGTATTTTCAATAAAGAAACTCATAAAGGTTTGTAACAGGGTGTATGAGCAGTTGATAAATCAATTATGAGAAATGTAAGGCCTTTAAAAGGTATTAAAAACTCTAAATCATGTTTTTACGAGGTCTTAAAAGCATAAATATATTTATTTACCTCCTAATATTAACTACAATGGATGATCCATGTGCTTGGTTTGGGCTGAGATGTGTTTGGCCAAGCTCCTCCGTGCGGGTGATGTCATGAAATTTGCGACAAACACGTGAAGGTGGTGTGATGCTCTCCACGTGTAGCGAAACCATAGAGCAAAACAGATGACAAAATGGGAAAATGTTAGTTTGTGTACTCCTGTTTGGAAAAAGCCGAGTTTAAACAGTGGCTGAAGCCTGTTGCTGAAAACAACCACGTAATTTATTCTTTCAAGCTTTGTTTCTTCCGAGCTTTTCTGAGTTCTGTTGCATGGTTGTGCTCCATTGATTTATTTAACTACAACTGTTTATTAACAAATGTTTATAAAGTTAAAGGTTTGACACTGATTAGAACTTGAAGTGGTGATGAGGTCTCAAAATATTCTCAGAAGGTGTTTAAGAAGTCTTAAAAAGGTATTAAAATTCATTTTAGGGTTCCTGCATTTACCCTGTGTAACCAATTGAGGAAATAGTATTCAATCTTCATTTCTGAATAAACTATCCCTTTTAGTGTCCCTTTATCTCCTAATGGTGCATTATATTTCTCTTTCAGACCCGAAACTTATGTCTAGCTTCGCTCCTGAAATACAGTCCACGAACTCTAAAGCGCATCAAGAATTTGATCAAGGGAAAACAGGCCTACATGATCAGCGGTGTTACCCACACTGATGACCTGGCTGTGGCAGATGAGCTACAAATTCCTCTTCTGGGCACAGACCCTGTGGTAACCCAGCTCTACTCCACTAAATCTGGAGGGAAAAGAATCTTCAGTAGCGCAGGAGTCGACATGCCTCCAGGAAAGTGGGATATATACACCTTGGAAAAGGTCAGAGTGCCAGCCATCTGAAACTTGCATTTGAGAATATGGAAAACTCACTTTGCAGTAATACATATGTTTTTTTGCTGCAGCTCTATGAAGGTCTAGCTCAGCTGATGGCAAAGCACATGGAAGTCCAGCGATGGCTTTTTAAGATAGACAGTGAAGTGGGTGGACGGGGAACTGCTTATGTTGATGTCTGCCATCTGAAAAGTCGCCCATGGGCACAACAGGAGTTTATCCGCCATGAGCCTCAACAATGGAGAACATCACAGTCTCAGGTGAGAGTGGGATCATTGATATAGATTCATAGATGCCTTAATAACGACTGATTCTAAGGGTATATAGATGTAAACGGTACACCAGATTAGAAAAGTTAAATGTGGTCCATGAACATTCAAACTTGACAGTATGTCAGTAGTCTGCAGTAGACTTAAGCAATCCACTTGTTAAGTGTAACGTCACGTGAAGCGGCTTCCGGGTCCAAACGCTCTATCAAACTATATGGGAAAACTCATCAAATTGTAATAATAAACGTTTACAAAGTGATGTAATACTTTTGAAAATCATAATCGCAATATATTTATATATATATATATATATATATATATATATATATATATATAAAACAGTTTATATATGTATAAAACCGTTCTGTTTGGTTCTCGAATCTGATTGGCTGATAGCCGTGATATATTTTATTAATATCAGCACCCATACAGCCTCTTTACCCTTTGTGTATTACTCCGCCCACATACAGCCAGCAACAAGCAGACACTACAGAACTGAAGTTTAAAAGATGCTTGCTCAGCCGTTTTAACTGTCAGCTTATGATTTGAATCCAAGGTGGAAGAAAGTAGTTCCTCATACAAAAAGGTTTTTGAGACTCTCCAGGTTTGATTTTGTTTTTATATACACAATTAGGCTTGGATATATGAGCAATAGCACACTAGTAGCAGTGCAATTCGGCTGTATATCGGCACTGGTGGGGGCACTAAGGCAACGCACGCCTCTCACCAGTGCCGATATACAGCCATATCGAACTGCTACTTGTGTGATATTGCTCATATATCCAAGCCTAATATCCGATGGCCAGAAAGTGATTCATTTTTTTATAAATTGTCAAATATTGGTGTCTGTGATGCAGCAATCCCAAAGACTGCATACACCAGGATTTAATATAAAAATCCCTTTAATGTGTGATATGATTGAAAAAGTGGTCATAAATGAATGTTTTCTCAATTTAAATGAATAGCAGCTTGGACCCGGAAACAGTATTCCATACGTCACGACAAACTGATTGATTTTGCTAAATTAACATAGCATAAAGTGTTGAGTAACTAAACATTCAACAGTTCAATATGGTAATTAAAAAAAAATACTCTAAAGTTGTTCCAAACCTTTATTAATTTATGTTTTCTGTTGAAGACAAAATAAGATACTTCAAAGAATATTGGCAACTGGTAGCCATTAACTACCATAGTAGGAAAAACAAATACTACGGAAGTCAATGGCTACCGTTTCAGCATTCTTAAAAATAATTTTAATGAAAGAAACCAAAACAGTTTTGGAATGAGTGGAGAATGAATAAACATAATTAAAGAATTTTTATTTTGGTAAACTACATTTTTTTTTTTTTTAATGGATATAAAAACACAAACCAGTACATTTTTATCTGTTAAATCACCTGATTATTCCATTTCCTATTGGAGAAGTGACTCTACAATTCAATTCAATTGATCTAAATTTCTATAGCGCTTTTACATTGTAGATTGTATTAAAGCAGCTTAACATAGAAGTTTAAGTAAATTGAAACTGTGTCAGTCCAGTTTTCTGAGTTTAAGTTTAGTTTAGTTCAGTTCAGTTCAGTGTGGTTTAATTTTCACTGCTAAAAGTCCAAACACTGAAGAGCAAATCCATCAAAGAGCAGCTCTACAAGTCACAAACCAAGCAAGCCAGAGGCGACAGTTTTGAGGAACAAACTATATCAGTTGACAAACAAGTGTACAAAGAAGTATGTTTATGACTGTACATTTAAAAAAATAGAATAATATAGTAATAAATTATCAATTTGCAACATGAAGCAGCATGATGATTTGTTTTTAATGTCTAAAAATCAATGGAAGTGTATGAGACTGGACGTCTAGAGCCAAAAAGAGTCTAATGGCTGTGCCTACTTGTGTGTGAAAAACTAGGACAATAGATATTAGATGACATATTGACATAGTGGTCCAAATCATTAACATATACAGCGGCCAACATTTGAAGGATCAAAATTTTTCTAAGACAAGAACGGGAGTTGTTCAATAGTACTAGGAATTTTGCAGAATGTTTAATAAAACTCAAATATAATAGTGGTAATACAAATCATTTAGCAAAAATTACAGCTTTTGATAAAACAAAGGACATGCCAGTGATTTCTGCCTTTAAAACTAGAAAAATAAATCTGTTGATAAAATTTAGTTCTGATATCTCCACCATTCAAAGACACAGTTTGTATCAGTGCGTGCTCATTGTGCAACAGTAGCAATTCAGAAGTATCAAGTGGCTTGTTTTGTAAATGCGAAATGAAATGTGCCATTTCTTTTATTTTGCAAATGCAGCTACACTTCACTCACAAGCCCTGTTCATTATAATTTCCGCTTTGCCTGGTTTTTTTTATAATTTATATTCTGCACAAAATGTATCCTTGTCTCAATGACAAGCCTGCCATTACTGACCAAGGCCGAACTTTGATGCCATCATCATGATTTACCTAGAGAGTCCTTATGACTCTAATTCATGGCAAATTAATAAAGAGGCATTTGAATTTTAGCATATTTATGTATTCTAATTCAAATATGATGTATTCAACACTCCTGCAATAAAAACGCATCGGTTTCATCTGCCTGTAATCGTGTTTATAACCCTCTCCTCAATCAAATGCTTACAATCTGGCCCTTGATTTAAATACCGTGTTTTGCCATTACACCGTGAGCTTTGTGTTAGCTAATTACAGGGTTATCATCATGCACGACTTTGTGTGCAAACCTAGCTTTTATTCATTTATTTGTTTTATTCCAGTCTCTTTTTGTAGTCTTCTATCCCAAGGGCAAGAGGAGGCTGCGTTTTCTACCTCCAAGCTATTAGCTCAGTCCCTAATTCACACTGAGGCCGAGAGAGGAATCTGGGGCTGTAATTGTGGTGGCATTGGCGCTGTTAATTACAGAGGTAAGCGGTTGAGGCCCAGCCAAGCTCCATTATGGTGATGGCGGTGAAGGAGCTTTAAATGGGGGGCTCTTCACCAGCTGGGGTCCCAGTGAGAGGAGAGAGAGCTGGGGCCTGATGAGCTGGCCTGCACCCTTAGGGCTTCTGGGCCATATGGAAGCCAGTACGAGCCTTTATTCTACCTCTTCAACCTTTTTTAATCAATGGCAAGCTCTGCTAACAGAATGGAGAGCACAGAGGTTATTTCAACGTGTCATTCATTTTCTACAGATCTGTATTCACTCTTTTAGGGGCAATTTCGCCGTTTCGTAGCACCCCTCATGTCTGAATTTTGCTAAATGCTCACGATTATGTTGTGTATTTGCATGTCATTTGATTTATTTATCTATTTGATTCCTTTTTTTGTCATGCTTATTGTGTTTTATCTCGATTACTATTGGGCTGCCTCACAACTAATTGCATGCTTATGAAATTAATTACCTTAAACATGTACAATATGGGGAAAATAGTTTAAGATTCAGGACTGTAACCTTGTATAACATTACATAAAAATTATGAATCATAATTATAGGCCTTTTAGGGTTGTAATTATATGAAAAAACAGCAACGAGTATATTTTTAAAATAAAAATAAGGTAGAGTATCAATTGCATACAACTTGTGTGCAAAAATAAATGATAGATTAAGTGAAATTAACAATGAATCAAATAATGATCCAATAAAATAATGAATTAATTATACCAAACAAAACAGTACAAAAATTCACCACCCAAAAACCTATAGCTTAAAACCAATTTTTTTTCAAATCCAAAAACCATAAGCAAAATGAATATAGAGTAAACTTAAACATTTAACAAAACCATTAGTACAAGCTGCAAACATAAAAAACTAGATTCAGTTTCAGTCAGAAGTTCCAAAGCAAAATACATAACATAGCCTTCAAATGTTTAAAATATGAATAAATGAAATGTACAGCATAAAAACAGTAAGGAGGATTTTTAAAAATAAATATAAGAGCATCAGTTGCATGCAGCTTTTGTGCAGAAGATTAAGTGAAATTAACAATGAATCAAATAATGATTCATTGAAACAGTGAAATAATTATACCAAACAAGAAAATTAGTACAAAAATAAGAAGACCTATATGTAAAATATAGTGTAAACCAAAACATTTAACAAAATCATTAGTGCAAGCAGCAAACATAAAAGATCAAATCAAATTTGCATTTTAGTCAGACGTTCCCAAGCAAAATAAATAACATAGCCTTCAAATGTTTATACGTGAATAAATGAAATTTAGAGCATAATGAACCACAATAATACACTCTATATATATGTGTGTGTTTGTGTGTGCATGTGTGTGTGTGTGTGTTTGTGTGTGTGTATGCATATATATATATATATATATATATATATATATATGTATGTATGTATGTATGTATGTATGTATGTATGTATGTATGTATGTATGTATGTATATATATATATATATATATATATATATATATATATATATATATATATATATATATATATATATATATATATATATATATATGTATGTATATGTGTGTGTATATGTATGTGTATATGTGTGTGTGTGTGTGTGTGTGTGTGTGTGTGTATGTATATATATATATATATATATATATATATATATATATATATATATATATATATATATATATATATATATATATATATATATATATATGTATAAGTTGCAAAACCATAAGTGCAAAAAAAAATCAAAATTCAGTTTCAGTCAGAGGTTCCCAAGCAAATTAAATAGTATAGCTTTAAAATGTTTTAAACATGAATAAATGAAATTTAGAGCATAATGAGTCATAATAATAGGCCTTTTAGGGTTATAATCATATATGTTTGGGGATTAAAAAAAAACAGCAAAGAGGATTTAAAAATTATAAGGTAGAGCAACAATTGGATACAACTTGTGTGAAAAATCTATAGTTTAAGTGAAATGAACAATGAATCAAATAATGATTCAATGAAACAATTAAATATTTATACCAAACAAGAATATTAGTACAAAAAATAAACAGATCTATAAACAT